TGCTTGGTGTTAATGGTCTGGTCATCAGGTAGTGCTCACAGCTGAGGATTGGGGGCAGGGGGGCAGGGGTAGAGCTCTGCCAGCTGCAGGCACTACAGGGGTATCCAAACAGGTACCACTAAGGCCCCTCTCAGAAGGCCCACACACATCCTTTAGTTCACTACCAGGCCTGAAGATCCCAGGCCAAGAAGGTAGCTTACACAGCAGCCAACTTCAGGCTATGCAATAGCAGGGGTATAGCCACAAAACTCCAATCCTGGGTCCTGCCATCAGCAGCACACTTGCTTTCCCAGCTGGAAAGCAATGTGGCACAAAGGACCACAGACAAGGTTGGTGGGAAGGGGCCCCAGAAATGAGGCTAAAGTCATGGAAGTGCATCATGAGGAGCCCACCATTCAGATTTGTATATAATGGCTCCTCCAACACAGTGGCGGGCCCTAGGTGGAGATCAGGCCGCCAATGACAAGGGACTCTGGTAGTCATCAGAGTCCTGCAAACAGATGCTGGTGTCTGTCGTAGCTAGACAGAAGGAAGGTCAGGACCACATGGTGGATTTGCCACAAGGTTCCTGGGGCCCAGGATTGGCCTGTACAGCAGGTACCCAATTATATATTTGAATGAGTATTTGACTATCCATAAATGAACACTTTAACTAGGCCAGTCTTAGCTTTGTTTTGGCCAAAGCTGCTGTCTCAGATACTCCATTCCTTAGGCAGGGTTTCAGAATGCTTATGCTGAGGAAAAGCTCTGGTGTTTGCTCAGCTACCACACAGTGCTCTATTGCTGCAAATTCAGTCTGTTCCCAGCTTGACATTCACATTTCCCCCTCTGGCCTCAACTTAGTTCTCTGGTCTTTCTCCCTTACCTACACTGCAACGTCACTCTTTACTCCCAGGCTGGCTCTCATGCTTCTTGATGATGTCTTTGCTGATCTGAGTTCCTTCACTATGAATATGCTCATTTCTATCCAGATACTGTCAAGACCCAGCACTTGGAAGGCTGAGGCAGGAGGATCCCTAGAGTTTGAAGCCAGCCTGGGTTACAAAGCAAGACAATATCCCAAGCAACCACCATCACCACCACAAAACCCAACCAACAAACCAAAACCAAAACCAAAACAAAACACCAACATCCTTCAGGGCTTGGCACAGTATATCATACTGATCCCCACCTGAATCTCTCCTAGGCTCCTCCCATTTATACCTTCCCATAGTACTTCCTTTTCCTTTTTGGAGGCAGTACTGAGGATTGAATCTAGGGCCTCACACATGCTAGGCAAGCATTTTAACACTGAGCTATATCCCTAACCCTCTTCACTAAGATTCCCAGGCTGCCCTGGAACTCATTATGAAGTCTAGAATAGCTCTGAACTCTTGATGCTTCTGCCTCAGCATCCAAAGCGCCAGAGTTACAGGTATAAACCACCATGACCCATTGAGAAAAGCTCAAAGTTGAATGAGGGGAATGCATAGCAAAGACCCAGTTCTATGAGGGACCAACATGGATCCTCAATAAATGGCAATGACCATTACAAGGCAGGAATAAAATAATGTGGTGACATTTGTGCAGTCTCAGGATATAGACAAAGCTGGACTCAAAACTGGCCTCTGACTCTTAGAAGGATGACCCTGTAAGAGTCTAATTCTCTGAGCTCAGGTCCCCAATGAGTTAAGAATTAAATGAGAATCTATCCCTCATGTAACAGGGGGTCAGGAACACAAAAAGGCCCAAACACAGAAAATAAGAGTCAACAGAGTGTGGATCCTTGGACAGGACTCCTATATTGAGGTCCACCCACCCAGGGTTCAGGGACCATGGCAGAAGAGGGGACGGGAAGATTGTAAGAGCCAGGGAGAAGGTGCATGACATTACAGATATAGTCCTATAGGCTCCTGGGACCCTTTTCATACAAACCTACAGCAATGATGTCAGCATGCACAAGATCCATGCAAGACAAAAACCCAGCACAGAACTGTGGAAATGAGCAGCAAGCCCTAAACATAGTAAAAGAATTATTGGCAGCTGAATCCTGCTGAGTGAGGAAGAGCTGATCTTCTTGAAGGGAGAGACTAGATAGGCTGACTAAACCCTGGTGGATGAACTTGCACTGAGGGGCATCTCGGGACAATAACTTTACATAATAGGCCTTAGTACAAATGATAGAATGTATGAACTCCTGTGGGGGGGTATGGGAGGGTGCCAAAGGGGAAGGGGGTATAAAGATGATTTTATGTATGAAATACACAAAAATTCAATAAAAAATTTATATTAAAAAAATTAGAATCTAGGGGCTGGAGTGATAGCTCAGTGGTTACACTGGCTGCTCTTCCAGGGTACCCAGGTTGGAGTCTCTGCATGGCAGCTAACAGCTGTAACTCCAGTTCCAGGGGATCTGAAGTCCTCTTCGGAGCACTGCATGACATGAGTTCACTTAAATACATACATGCAGGCAAAACATTCATACATTTAAAAAATTTTTAAAAAAATTTGGGGGGTCTTTTTGAGACAGTAGCCCCAGCTGTATGTAGACCAGGCTGGCCTTGAACTCACAGAGATCTGCTTGCCTCTGCCTCCCGAGTGCTGGGATTAAAGGCCTGTGCCACCACGCCCAGCTAGCAAATTAAATTCGTTTAAAAAATGAGACTCTACATAAAGCCTCAGCTCAGGGCCTGGCACTTTTAATCAGCTGCTACCTTTTCGTTATTAAAGAGAGCCTCCTCAACGGACTGCATTCGAATCACTTAGGGAACTCCCGGGGTAGAGCTCACGAACTTGCTTTTTAAGTTTGCAAAAGTGACTTGCAGAAGGTGCCAATGGTATCCCAGAAATGCTCAGCGCTCCAGGACTCGAGTTCCGTTCAAGTGCCAGGTCTCCAACTTTACAGGACGAGCCAACTGTCAAACGCGGCTAACATCCACGCTACACACCTACGCCGCAAAGCCCACCCCTCCACCACTTCCCGCAGCCCATGGCTGCTCACGCGCGATCCGGCTGGGCACGCGACGACTAGGCGCCTCCGGCCGGGCGGCGCTTCCTAGGCCCTAGGTCGCCGCCGCCGCCTGGGCCCCACCAGCCTCGACTCCGGCGTAACGCCGCAGACCCTCCTTCCTGCTGGGCACACTGGAGGCATAAGCCCGGCCGTAGCCCGCTGCCCGGATCTGACTCGACCTCCTTTCCCCGATACCTGGCCGCGGACCTCACCATGACGACAGCTCCGCCTCAGGGGGCACCGGCGCAGTTTCCCAGCACGGTGAGCGGGGCAGAAGGGCGGCCGGCGGGTCAAAGGTCAAGGGAGACCGCGGAGAGCGCATGCGCAAGGCTCTGGGCATGCGTGTTTTCACGGCTCCAGGGGCGAGCCGAACTTCGTCCGGGCGGAGCCTGCCTCCGACTCTGGACTGGAGTTAAGGACGCTTGTTAGCCACCATGTGGGTACAGGAAGTCAAACCCGGGCCTCTGCAAGAGTAGCCAGTGCTTTTAACTAGCTCGCCAGCCCCTGTTTGTTTCCTATCTTAATTTTCCATATATATGTGTGTGTGTGTATATATGTTTTGGGGGGTCTTTTGAAACAGGGTCTCCCTGTAGCTCCACCACACCGGCAGTTTTGCCAAAATATTTAGGACGAAGCCATCATATGAAATAAACTAATGTAATACAGTGTTGGATGCCGAATTCTCGAATTCTCTGGGATATATAAGAAAACTAGAAACTTTAGAACAGGTTTTATCCCCCATCAGACTCTTACTACACGGACAAGACATGCCGGCCCTTCTGATTGCAAGGGGGTGGGACATCCTTAAATAACACGTGCTTATTTTCTGATGGTTCTAGAATTTTTAAGTCCAATATCTTCATGTTGCCAAGTTTAGTTTCTACTGCGGCTTCTCTCCTTAGCTTGCAGAAGGTTGTCTCTTCTCACACCCTCACATGATCTTCTCTGGTCTATGTGTTCAAAACAGCTCTTTCCAGACACCCATAATTCACATGCCAAAACAGCTCAACTTTTTGGGGTGCACAATTCAGTGCTTTTTAGCATATTCAGAGTTGTATCACTATCACCATTATCTAATTCCGGAACATTCCAACTCAGCAGTCACTTCCCTGGCCCTGGCAACCACTGCATTCGGTCCCTATGGATTTGCCTGTTCTGGACATTCTAGAAACTGAATCAAGGCTACATGTGGTCTTTTGTAACTGGCTTGTCTCTCTATTATCCATTCCCTCAGTTTTTGTTCTCAAAGCTCATACCAAACCCATCATCATATAATTCCTTTACCTTTATTTTTTATAGCCTGTATCCTCCTGCTAGAGTATGAATTCCCAGTGAGCAGGATATTTATGTTCATTCTTGGCTATCAAGCACCTTGGAAGGCTATATGGCATGTGGTGGATACTGACATGTCTGGTAAATGGATGAAAGGCTTCTAGACTACTGCCCTTCCTCTCCTCTAGCTCTCTAAATCTTTCTTCCTGGGTACCCTGCTGAACTTCCTTTTGTTCTTTCTTGGCTTTCTGTGGCAGGCTCTTTCCAGCCTTAGTTTCAGCTTCAAGAGAGTTTCCTCTCAGCCCCTTGAGCACCATGCTTGCCTCTGCATCCAAGCAATTCCTTTGTTTTTCCTTACTCTGCTTTCCTGCACACAGTCTGGTTCCCTTGGACAACAAAGCTCTAATTAGCTGAAGTTGCATCTTTCTTATTCATTAGAGTATCTGACCATCCACAGTGGGGCTGGACACCCAAGTGAACAAAGTGAGACTTGTGTGAAGAGGAGGGGCCAGGATTCAAGTTCTCTCACTCACAGTCACATCCCCTTTCCCTTTCCAGCTTCCCAGAGACCAAGCAACAGAAGAGGTGGACAGCTTAGAAAAGTTTAATTGCTGAAAATATCCAGGGTATGTGTAGTAGGCTGGTTGCTGAAGGGCTTACAACACTGTAATGAGACTGTTAGCTCCATGAGACCACCCCCCTTCTCCTGGCCTCAAGCCTGGGGAAGCAGGGTAAGTGGTTGGTCCTAGTGCCCTGAGGCTGCAGCTGCTCCAAATATCCTGGTTGGGGGCCAGCCCCCAATGTCTTTGACTGGAGCTGGGACAGCAGGCAAGATGGGTTGGCATGTAGTATCTGAAGGTACCAGACAAAGCCAGCCTAGGCTGGGACCAGCCCAGGCCAGTAGAAAGATTAGGAGAGACAGTGTGCTCAGGGCCAGCCCAGAGACATGCTACTGACCTCCACCTCCCACCCCTTGGTGCCACGTGCTAGCAGGCAGCTGAGGAGAAGCAGCTGGTCCCAAAGAAAGCAGAAGAGCAGACAATCCCTGTAGTTGCAGTGGACCCAGGAACTGTGGAAGTGCCTGAGGCCTACAGGAAGCCAGGGCTCCTGGGATGGATGTGCCAAGGCCAGAATAGCATCTTCCAGCTTGCAGAGATGTGGGGTATGTAGGGACACCAAGTGGTTCTAGGAGGTGGCAGTGGCAGCTGAGGTTCCCTGGTGTGTAGGCTAGTCCTAGGTTGTGAAACCAAGAGGTGAAAGGAGTTAAGAGGGCCTGGGAAGCAGGGGTTGGAGAAGAGTGTGTCACATATGTGCAGGAGGGGCAATATTGCTCACCACAGAAGCTGGGCCTACTCGTCACTCACCCATTCATCTTCATCCACCCCTTCAAAGGAGTCCTGGGGCAGTGGGTCCTCCCAGTTCCCCAGCTTTGCCACCATGGCATTCAGCAGCTGTGAGGGTAATAGGAGAGGCATTGAAAGAAATAACTCTGTGACTTCAAGAACATGAGACCCCAGTTTTAACCCCAACAATACTAGAAAAAGAGCTATTTCAATTAAAGACCTAGAAAGGTTGACGGGTTTTCATTGGAAAAGACAGAGACCAGAGAGACAGTTATAGGGGTGTCAGAGACAAGAGACTGTAGCATATGGCACCCAATACACATCTCTGCATATTGCCTCAAAGGCTCAAATGTATACCAGGGTCCCCATGGGCTTGGGTCTCCAAAATCCCAATTTCAGTTGGGTCAGAAATAGCTAAGATGTGGTCTCTTGCTGCCTTCCCTGACTTCCTGTGCCCTGGGGGTTGCAACAGGCCCTAGGTAGTCCCCCCACAAAGTTCTGGTATAGAGACAGGTGTGACACATGACTCTTCCTGCCACCTGGGTTGGGGCTGAAGACTTGGCAGATAATCAAGCACATGGAGGACAGCCTACTCTGAACAATCAAGTCTTCTTCCATGCCCACCTCCTCCTTCTTTTGCTGGTCAGATTTCTCTTCCAAGTACTGTGCTGAGGATGGGGCTCGTCGGGTAGGGACCTCACGGGATGCTTGGCTCACTGGGGTAAAGCAAGGACAGGCATCAGGCATCAGGGAAGGCCCTGTGTGAAGCTGCTTAAATCAGCCCCCAGGAGCTTCCCTGGCAGAGATCCAAGAAGTGGCATTAACACATCCTAAAGTCTTTGTTCACAAGGCCTACCTAGAACACTAGAGTATATGTGTGTAAGAATGTATGAGTGTGTGCACACAATAGAATGAAACACAGGCCACAGACCACCTCCCAAGTGTTCAAAGACAGGATCTGGAGATGTGAGCTCAAGTTCTCTATGGGGCAGCAGGGATGGAGGACTGTATGTACTTGGGCCTTCTGCCCCTTCCTCCCACCCATCTAGATTCCCCTGATGTGTCTTCCATTTGGTCCCTTATTCTACCTGGGGTCATGCCGGGGGGCTTCAAGCTCAGTAGCTGGGGCTGTCCATTAGTACCCCCTAGCCAGGCTTTGGCACTAAGAGCTGGCTCCCAGCTCACAGCCGTGTCTGGGAACACATCATCCTGGAAGAACTCTTTCTGCAAGGGAGGAAAGGGATGTCTGAGATACTGACCAGAGGCCCAGGGCACAAGCACTGAGACCTGGCCCCACCCACACTGGCATTTGCAGGTATTGCAGAATTTCAGTAGAACAGGAAGGCAGGCAGTGGGCAGGTTTTGGGGCAAGGCCAGGCAAGAACCCAAGTCCCTGGGTCCTTGGCCCTAACCTCACCCTAACTCGGGGCAGCCGGAAAGCAACAGGCTCCAGGGAGGTCTGTCGCAGTCGCAGGCATCTGGCAAACTCCACTTCCTGCACGTCACACTCAGTCTTTGGCAGAAGGACAAAGCCCTAGGGGGAATGAAGTAGAAACTTGGGCGGGGTGTTGTGGTGCACGCCTTTAATCCCAGCACTCGGGAGGCAGAGGCAGGCAGATCTCTGTGAGTTCAAGGCCAGTCTGGTCTACATAGTGAGTTCCAGGACAGCTGGGGCTACAAGGAGACCCTGCTTAAAACGACCCCCCGACACCAAAAAAAAAAAAAAAAAAAAAAAGTAGAAACTGGAGTCAAGTTTCTGAGCACTCTAGGGTGGCAGCATTCCTCATTTAGGACCGCCAGGACCTTGGCAATGGTGGGCTCTCAATAGGAACAACTTAGAGAAAAGACTGGAAGTGTAGCATTGACCTGTTTCTACAGGGGACAAAGTCCTACCGTACCCCAATTCAAGCTGTCAACTCACTGATCAAAGTTGAGGTATATGGTACTACACCATCATGATGCAAGTTCCTTGCTCTGGGTTTAATCCATGTGCACACTCCATCAAGACAAGCAAAGGACCAAACAGAATTTGTTTCCTGGATTTTGTTTCTTTGAGATAGTTTCACACTACCACCCAGGTTGGTTTCAACCCATGATCCTTCTGCCTCAACCTACAACTCTGCACCACCATGTATGGTGGTCCTTGGGGTTTTTTTTTTTGTTTCTTTTTTTGTTTTTTTTTTTTGGTCTTTTGAGACAAGAGTCTCCCTGTAGCCCCAGCCGGCCTAGAACTTGCTATGTAGACCGGACTGGACTTGAACTCACAGAAATCCACCTGCCTCCGCCTCCCAAGTGCTGGGATTAAAGGTATGTGCCACCATGCCCAGTTTTTCGTTTTGCTCCTTGGTTTTTTTTTTTTTTTTTTTTTTTTGGTTTTTTTGAGACAGGGTCTCCCTATCGCCCCAGCTGTCCTGGAACTCACTATGTAGACCAGGATGGCCTTGAACTCACAGAGATCTGCCTGCCTCTGCCTCCCAAGTGCTGGGATTAAAGGTGTGTGCCACCATGCCCAGCTTGCTCCTTGGTTTTTAATGGGTTTGTTCATAAATTCATATTGTAGGTTCATATAACTTAACTGTATATAGTTTAATTTTTAGTAATGACTGAGTGTAAGTCAGCTCTCAAAATTCCTAGATTATTTCACAGTCAACTCTCCCAGCTGCTGAGCACAGATGCTGGACACAGCTCAGGGCAGGACTGTGACATCTTGACCCCATGGGTTCCTGCACTTCCCCACATGGCCTCAAGGGGGCAGAGGCACCCTGAGATCCCACAGAGACAGCAGTATCAGTGCTGAAGGTGGCATCACCTTGTGAGGGTCAGGTGATGTGAAGCTGTTGCACTCCAAGAAGAAAGGGGCCTCTGGGAGCACCTCATACAGGAACACACGGGTGTCACCCTGGGAGACAGAGGGTGGGAGTGTGACAATAAAACAGCCAGCTTCACCAGCCCCTGCCCCACACCCAGCCAGTCCATCCCAGCCAACCTTGCCAGTGAGAAGCACTAGGCCAGTGTCAGGGTCGTAGCTGGGCAGCAGGGTCGAGGGAGCTACATCGAGGCCCAGCACTGCTGAGGGACCACCTGTCAGGGCATCAGCTGTGTACAGTTGCAGCTGGCGCTCACTTCGGCTACCAGAGGGTTAGAGTTAAAGCAGATCCTTAGGGCTGGAGAGGCCTGGGGCAGGGCAAAGACTTCCATAGGGACCCTGTTCCTTTCTGGGCTTGGAAGCCTAAGGGCTAGTGGTCAATGGAGAGCTGAGTCTAACCCTCAGAAGTGGCCTGGCTGGGGCAGCAATATCCCAACCCACTGCTCAGCCTCCACCCTCCTCCCAGGCTTGCTGTCTACACAGCCCTGACTTCAGTGCCTGCCCTAGCCCATTGCAGCCTCCTATCTAGCCTTCTTCCCCAACATTCTGCTTCTCTTCCTCAGATCCAGCAGGGCTTGACATCCTTCTGGCTCTTCCACCCAGGCTTGAATGACCTCTCCTCCAAGACTTGGTCAGCAGCCCCTTTGGGACTTGATTCATACAAGACCTCTCTTGGGAAGCCACCCCCATGCATCCTGGAAAGTGCTAGGTACCCACCTCTCAGGCCTATCTAGTTATCCTTGTTCTCTGTTTTCTGTGCCTTACCTAGTCCCCATCAGGCAAAGGCTCCTGGGCCTGCTCTCACCCTCTGGGTTCCCTGTTGATACATATTTCCTCTCCAGTACTCCTTCTCACCCAACCACCCATCTTTCTGTCTACTCATCTATCTAATCATCCATCAGTTCATCTGTCCATCCATCATCATTCCATCCATCCACTCATCCACTTACCCATCTACGCACCTACCCCCTTATTCATTCATTCTCCCATTTACCCACCTACCCATCCAGTGAATGAATGATGGGAACAGTTTTTGCAAGCCTGACAGGTTGTTGTGACCTTGGGGAAAGGGAGATCAGGCAGCTGCTGAAGCCCCAAGATGGTGGTCCCTAAGTCCTCACCTGTCAAAGCCAGACACCAGCAGACAACGACCATCACACACCCAGACAATGCGGGCTCCACGGCCCCCCTCAGGTCCTGGACCTTTCTGTTGAGATACAACACACAAAGCCCAGTCATGGCCCCTCCCTGCAATGGGTCTCAGGGCTACTCTTAACCTATATGTGCTTACCTACAGGGATGCAAGGCCTCTACAGGGTTCACAGACCCTGAACCCCTCCCCTCAGCCCAAGCATGCTCGTCTACAGGGGTACAGGGTTACATAGAGAATGTAGACCTTAAGGTGCTCCCACTCCCAGCCCATGTATGTTCACCTGCAAGGATGCAGGGCTACTCAAGGGCTTGTAGACTCTAGCCTGTCCCTGCCCCAGCTCATGCATGCTTACCCGTAAGGGTACAGGGCTGCTCCGGGGCTCATAGACCCGCACATGCCCATCCTTACACACAGTGGCCAGTTGTTGCCCATCTGGACTCCAGGCCAAGCCAAAGATCTGGGGACAAATGAGGACATGAGAGGCAGCCCTTTCCTTCTACGCTGGGCCCCTGCCTCTGCAGCTATTCTACCTGGTCCTGATGGCCCTGCAGCCTCAGCCGCTCAGCTCCAGCCTGAAGGTCCCAGATACGAATGGTGAGGTCATAGGAAGTAGAGGCCAACAAATCAGCCGCCAAGGGGTGGAAGCGCAAAGAGTAGATCTTTTCTGTGTGGCCTGTGGAGGACCATGGGGTGATGCTGAGCCCCTGGGGATCCAGTGCCCCACCTGGCTCTACCAGGGACCCCTCACCTGTTAGCACAGTCTCAGGTGTGGTAAGTATGTCCTTGAGGCCCCCAGGGGGCACCCGCCATAGTCTGATCCGGGCATCTTCCCCAGCTGTGGAAAGAGGAGTATATATTCATTTGCAAGGCTCAGGACACCTGGCTTCCCTGCCCACTCAGAACATGGAACCTTCTTATACTCCTCGGGGCCCAGACTCCTTACCCACAGCAAGACGGTATGGGTCAAAGGGGTCCCAGGCCAAATCCATTACCGCTGACCCATTCTGCAGTGTAGGCAGTGTTGTGTCAGGCAGGCGTCCAGGTTTCTGCAGCTGCAGGAGGAACCACCATCCCAAGGAACATCAGAAATCCAGGTAAGAGAGCCATTCCCAGAATAGTAGGTGCCTGGGCCCCACTCTCTGCAACAGATACCTCCACTTCAGGGTGGTCCAAGCTCTCTGCAATAGCCACCTTATACTGAGCCCCAGGTGCCAAATGTGAGGCCCCAGAAAGTGAGAGCATGACAGTATGGAATAGTAGAAAGATCTCAGGCTTGGGATTTAGGTGGCCAGGGCTTGAACCCAGCTCGACTTAACACAGGACAGGTCACTAAATCTGTGCCTTTTCACTCTCATCTGAAAAATGGGAATAAGAATGGCACCCCACACACAAGGCAGCTGGGAAGATTACAGGATATGGTGACAGGTGCCTGACACATGGTCTGCCCTTAGTGTCCTGTCTTTGCCTCCTGCAGGGGTTTCCTAAAGGGTAGCCTTAGTGGGGCAGGGCCCTTACCTCAAGGACAGCTACCTGCCCACCACTGCTAAGCAGGGGCACTGCCACATGCAGTCGGTTAGCACAGAAGCCATCGCTCTCGCCAGGTGTGGTGAGGTTGAGCCCCTTGAGGTTGGTGATGTGGCTGTCTCGGTGCAGGATGGTGCCCTGAGCATGGCGGAACTTAGAGCTGGGGCCTGGAGGGTGGTGGGGATATAGCCATGAGTGAGGATGTTGTGCCTGTGAATCCTGCACCCTTAGTCCTGGTCACCTACTTCCCTCACTACAGGAAAGTGTCTGGTGGGGGCCTAGGCCATGCATCTACAGAGGTGGCAAGCATAGCTTGCCCAGAAAGTTTGTCCATGTTCCTCAATGGCCTGAGGGATCTTGGTGGAACCCCAGCGATCCAGGGAACACAGCTTGGAAATCAGTGGTTCTGGTAGCACAAGTCTAGGTGAGTGGGTTGATCTGTATGAGGTCTCCCTTCAGGGCTGGGGGCCAGAGAAAGAGGGTTAGGGCTGGAGACAGGATTCTGTCCTAATGGGCTTACCCAGTAGGCTCTGCAGTGACCTCTGACTGGGACTGGTACCAATGCCGCTAGTGCTGGAAAGTGAAAGCCCCAAACTGGATGGCGTGGAAGGTGAGGTCAGCGAGCTGGTAGGGGAGGAGAAGTCCTCCTATGGAGAAGGACCTGGTTAGCCACCAAGTCCCTGGGTGTTCTGGCCAAGGGGAAAGCTGACTGACTCCAGGGCCACTGCTCTGGGTTCCTCTGGGCTATGGGACACTGGGCTAGGCATGAGCCTGCTGAAGCATGAACCAGGTGGTAATGGGAGGAAGGGACTGAGCTTTAGGCCATGGGGACAGAAATGGCTGCTCCCAGCTCCCAGTTTTGTGGGCTGCTGTGCCAGTGGTTACAGCTGCCAACATTTCAAGAGCAACGAGAAATCTAGTGTGTCAGCAGCCCTGCTTCCTCAACAACTGCTTAGTTTAGAAAACACTGCTAAGTTCTTTACTATGCTGCATGCGTTCCTCCCTAACTGTTCTGACAGCTAGAGATAAAGTCCATTTGACAGGTGGATGGAATATACCTCCTGACCACTTCACTGCCCTACTGTGATGTCTCATTGGCCATAGAGGAAGTGACTTAATACTTACACTTGGGTCTGTGTCAGCTCTCAGTGTCTCCACAGGCTGGGCCATGTCAGTGGGTGGCTCCATAGGGGGTATCATGCAGGAAATGAAGCTGGGATGGGGCCGGTGGGCTGGGTTGAGGCTGACCTTCTGTACCTGTTGGCAGGTTGCCAGGTAGGAAGGGAACCCTTGGAGGGGTACACATAAGGTTGGGGAAACCCAATGAGGACTTCAGGGATTGTTTGGGCCAGGGAACAGGGTAAGAGGAACTTGAGCCAGGCTTAACCATACCTGCTGGTTGCTGCCAGCCCACCACACATGAGCATCAGAAGCAGGCACACAGCCAGATGTGTCTGGAAACAGATCCTCATGGAACTCCACAGACTGGTGAAGAAGAGGCAGGCAGTCAGTGAGGCCTGAGTCCCCCCAGGTCCCCAACCCTTGTCCCAACCCCTACTCACCTTTCGGGGTACATGGTAGCTGACAGGTATGATGGCTATGTCGCTCAGCTGCAGGACCCGGAGCACCTCACAACCCATGACAGCCAGTGCTCGTCGGGGCAAAAGGGCTGCCCCCCGCAGCACGCTCTCCAGCACACATTGGGTCACTGTTGAGGACACCATGGGGGACAGTCAGTGATGGAAAAGGATCAGTGGTAGGGTAAGGAGGGGGAAAGTAAGGACTCACCTGGGCTCAGTGAAGGCTGCTGTGGGGTCACCTCATAGCAGTATAGCTGACTCTCACCCTGAAACGAACCCAGCCTGAGCTCCAGCTGACTACAGCCTGGTGTCCAGACAGCCCTACAGCTATCCCCCCTTGCTCCCTGGGCCCAAGCCACAGAACCACAGTAGCCACCTCTTAGAAACTTGACTGTGCTGGGTAATGAGTTGATCCCTGAGAGACTCCCTCACTTGCTCATCAAATCATGTAGTGAGCACCAGGCATGTACACCAGCATTTATAGCATGTTGACAGCAGACCAAAACTGCTCTATTTGTGGTCTTGTCCTCCTAAAGTCGCATCATCTTGGCTTCCCAGGTGAGGATGACAGTGGGCTAGGCTGCACTGTTCTCTCCTCTTCAGGGGACAGCAAGGAGAAAACCAGTACAAGGGCCTGAACTCTGGGCAGTACACATGACAGATAGAGGTAGGGGAGACCCAGTTTCTTGCTCACCTTTCCTGCCAGGATCAGGAGCCCAGAGTCTGGATCCAGCAGGGGTATCAGAGACCTGGGGAAAGAGGGCCAGTAGGCTGGATTATAGGGAAGGGACAACAGGAAGGTTCCATATCTGTGACCTCACATCAGGGACTTGGAAGAAACCAATAACCAGGAGCCACTTGGTCCCTCCAACTGTATCTAGCTGACACCTAGGATCCTCAGTCTCCTCTCTAGGTGTTGCCCATATGCTGAGCACCCCACACCCTGTCCTATTTCTTCCCTGAAGGGCTTACACTGGTTCTGGGTATTGGAGATTTAAGCCTGACCTCCACTGCAGGCTCTTGTGAGAAGCCCACATATAAATCATGTCCCATCCTGCACCAGCCACCCTAGATCAGACAAGCATAGCCAAGGAGGGTGAGAAAGTATGTTGTCCAGCCAGGGATCCTTCAACCTCTGCTTGGGAACTTTTGGGCCCACTCCAGTCACTCCAGGGGTAGGGTGGTGCCATGTACTCCATCACCTCACAAACTTCAGGTATCCTAGAGGCTTAATGCCCCTCCATGCTGACTCCATGTCCCTGTGACCAGTTGAGCCAGGTAATGGGGAAAAGGACCCTTGCAGCTGCTGGTCCTCCCCAGAATCCTCCAAGCTAGTTCAGGCCAGTGAACAGGATATTTCTGGTCTGTTCCTGAGATGGGGTTATGGTAGGAGGGGATGGTGTCTGGGAATGCATGGGGGGGGGGGGACAAACTTCAGGTATCCTAGAGGCTTAATGCCCCTCCATGCTGACTCCATGTCCCTGTGACCAGTTGAGCCAGGTAATGGGGAAAAGGACCCTTGCAGCTGCTGGTCCTCCCCAGAATCCTCCAAGCTAGTTCAGGCCAGTGAACAGGATATTTCTGGTCTGTTCCTGAGATGGGGTTATGGTAGGAGGGGACGGTGTCTGGGAATGCACGGGGGGGGGTTGTGGTGGGGGGCAGATAGGTTGGGAGCCTCTGACACTGACGGTTTCAGACAACTTTTTCACTGGCCAGGGACCCACCCTCTATGGGCCCTAGAGACTAGCCTCCCAAGCCCATGAGCACTGCTTTCCAGTGACTTCACATTTGGGGAGGGGCATCCAAGAAAACTTGAGAGCCTTCTATCACTTGCTCTTGGGTTCCTGTCTCGAGAGACCCCCTAGGTCTGGATCTCTACTCTGGCGACGGTTTCAGACAACTTTTTCACTGGCCAGGGACCCACCCTCTATGGGCCCTAGAGACTAGCCTCCCAAGCCCATGAGCACTGCTTTCCAGTGACTTCACATTTGGGGAGGGGCATCCAAGAAAACTTGAGAGCCTTCTATCACTTGCTCTTGGGTTCCTGTCTCGAGAGACCCCCTAGGTCTGGATCTCTACTCTGGCATACTCCCAAACAGTACCTCATTGCTACTGTAGTCCCTTCAAGTCAGAGGTCACCCAGCTATGGCAGCTGCTTGTGTCCCTCACCCTGGTGACAAGGGGTTCAGTTCCTCCTCCCCTGCCCACCAGTATTCTGTTGGAGCCACAGAGTGAATGGAGAGCTGGGTGGGGCCCCCCAAGTGTCTCCACACAACTTCCTGGAGGGCCCTAGGCCAGTCACCTGTGAGTAACACAGGCTGTAATTACCTCAGGCTGGCCTCATTGCTTCCCTTCTTGACCCTGCCTGACCAATGCCTGCCACAGTGGAGGGTGAGCAGGAGACAGAGGTGTTGTGTGGCCAGGAGGCCACCCCACAGCAGTGGGGTCTGCATCAGAACCCTGGCAGCTTCCATAGGGCTTTACTCATTCATTCATAATCTTCTCTTCATTACTTAATAAGCTAATCTGTGCTGAGCCCTCAGATCAGTGTGTTAGTATGAACAAAAGAGAGTGAGACAGACCCCAAAGCCTGTCCTCAAGGTACTTAGTGCCTGGTGCACAAGCAGACACAATCCCATGATTAAACACATGAAAGAAGGATTCTCTGAGGATGTGCAGTAGGGAGAACAGTGACTTAGTCTTGACTGGGCCACTGGAGAGGGGGTGTTCTCACAATCCTAATGTTAGGGAGAAACCAAACACATCACAAAGAGAGTTCTAGACAAAGAGAGCATGTGCAAAGGTCCTGTGGCAGGAGCAAGGCATTTTCAGGGATGGGAAAGGTAAGGTATGTGGTAGCCTAGCAGTAAGAGCGATGACTGAAGCTCAGGGAGAAGTGGGCAGAGCCAGATGGAGGAGAATCTGGTAGATGGAGTGTGGGGAGTACTGTCTCTAGTGGATGATAAACAACTAAAAGCTTATAGTGTCTTTTGTTTTACAGAGCTGGAAGTAGAATTTAGGGCCTTGTGGCCTGCTAGGCAATTCTACCATCCCCAGGCAGAAGGAGTGTTTTAAACAACGTAGAGTAGGGCCACGATGGTGCTGAGATGGGGTCATATAGGCTGCTGAGCAGAGATAAGCTGGGAAGATTGGGAAATGAAGGAATGTGATACTACAGGCAGAGATGGGGAGCAAGTGGGCTGAGTGGTGGCCTTGTTTACACTGCCCAGGAGAGAACATGGGAAGAATCCTGTGGGTTCCACCATGGCACTGATGTTTTACCAACTTTCTAAACCCACCTCCTGAGGAAGCCTGGCTGGGTCTCTCCTCATCTCACCCCCTCAGTTCCTGCCCACTGACGCAAGTGTGCAGGTGGTGGGGGCAGGAAATGACAGAGGGCAGGGCTAGCTTCTCTGACAGGTCAGGCCAGTCCTCCTTGCCTCAGGCAGAGCCATCTGGACAGCTCTGCCAGGCAGCCACATCCTGCTACCCATGGTCCAGCATGGGCAGGGAAATGGGGTCATAGCACTCAGCATCAAGGGTTGTCTAATAGCTGGCACAAGTTTGACCCCAGGCCTCATGAAGACAGCCAAGCTGCATCTGGGTCCGGGATGCAGAAGGTATGCCTTGGCTTGGCAGAAGACCAGAAGTGGTGGGAGGTGGTGCTAGTACCTTAACTGCTGCTATGGCCCCTGGGCATACTACCTTGAAGGGCTTTCCCTGATGTTGGAGCAGGGTTCTACCTCAGACCCAAAGTCAGAGGGTCAAGGGCTCTGCCCCTAACCTCAGCTCAGGTCCCAGAACACTAGGGAAAATGGTTGCACCACCTAGATGGTCAGTTGTGACTTTGAACTCTAATAATGCCATAAACTCGACAACTGCCCTGTGATGGGCACAGTAGAAGGACCAGAATGGGCTTGCTGGGAAAAGCAGCTCCCAACTCCTCCCCTGGTATCCTCTTCACTCATTTCTCTCTTATGGCCTCAGACAGCTTGGCAATGCCACTGGTCAAAAGCAGTCCAAATCCCATGGCTCTTTTACTGTCAACCAGGCTGGGCAGTCGAGGCCCTTTCAAGGTACAGGCTATCCCATACTCCTTCCTTTTGTGAGGTCTCTGGTGGGGGGTTGGCAGGGGGAAGCAACAAAGAGAGGTTAGACTAGTTGGGAAGATGTCCTAGAGGTTACCTCTAAGCCTTTAGGAGAATGGGACCTCAGAGGATTCATGACTCAAAGGAGCAGCTTAGGGACAGTCAGACTAAAAGGTCAGATAGCACTTGTGGGGCTCTATTGTTTGTTTTTTTTTTCTTTTGTACTAGATATTGAACCCAGAGCCTTATCTATGGGAAGTGCTCCACCACTGAGTTATACCCTTAGCTCTCTTTTTATTTTTTATTTTGAAAAAGGTCTTATGAAGTTGCCCAGGCTGACCTTGAACTTGTGATCCTCCTGCCTCAGACTTTCGAGTAGATGGAATGATAAACCTGAGCCATCAAACCTGGCTCACACAATACTCAATGACTGAGGAGTTTAGCATGAGACAGTGATGAGGAATAGGGACTGGGGTGACCTGTGAGCCTGAGTCCTGGCCCAGAGAGGGCAGCTGCCACACAGCCCCAGCAGAGACTTCCTGATCCAAACAAGCTGGGAAGCCCGATTTTAATGTGAAACCATCTAATTTTTTTTTTTTTCAATGCTGGCATGGCTTCAAAGTCTAAAATGTTTCACACAGGCCAAATGAAACACCTAGGGGTCAGTTCTGCCCGGGAGTGGGGGGTGTATTGCCATGCTCTATACCTATCACACAAGAACATGTGTGAGAGGCCAAGGGATTGAGAGAGGAAAGTCTCAGCTAGACCCTGCTTAGCTGCTGACTTGGATCATCTTCCTTTCCCAAGTCCTGCAGAGACTAGACAAGCCCCCATCTGGTGTGGCCCAGCCAAAAGCTGTGGCTGCAGGAGGATAAGAAGGGGGTAAGGTGGTGGAAGCTGGGAACTGAGCTGGGTCCCCAAAGGCTCTGAGGCATGATTCTGACCACAACCATGGAGGGGGAAGGGCATTTTCCTGGAATCCTCCAAGGCAGGGGATTTTTTTGGACTAGTACAGCTCCCACAGCACCCTCCCATCCTTCGCAATCAAGGGCCACTGTCAACAGATGCCAAGGCCCCACCTACTGTTGATGAAGTCCCCAACCCCACCTCCCATCCCAAGCACATTCTGAACTTGAAGCTGCCAGTAACTATGGGGCTTTGGGCAAATGGCTACTTCCTTTCCTGGGTTTAGTCCATCTAAAACTGGGGAAGATGCCCGGGGACACCCTGGTTGTTATGGTCAGAAGGATCCCAAATCTAGCATTAGAGGCTGTGCAGCCTTCCTAGAGCTTATGATGTTGGGATTAGCTATCAACAATAACACATTGAGAAATTGTATCTAAAAAAATCTGTTTGAAAAATCCTTGGTTTTGGCAGACTGCGCTGGTCATGGGGACCAAACTCTAATCCCAGCCCCCACTGCCCCACACCTGCCTTTCTAGATCTATGTTGGCCCTGGGGTCCATGTCTAGCATCTGTGTCTTGTGTTACTCAATATTTGCTTGCTTTTTACTCGAAAGGCAGTCCAATGTCACACAGCAAACTAAGGGCTGACTTAAGTCTGTGTTCCCCTGACTCTATTGGAGGCCTAGTAAAATCTCTCTTTCGCTCAGGTTGGGAGGTGTCGGGGTGCAGACTGGGCCTGCTGGACGCAATGACCCGTTCAGCAGAGGGGTCTGGTCATTGCCAAGCCCCGCCCCAGCCAATGGGGAGAGGCCTTGCCCACTGTAGATGGCTCCGCCCCTTAGCTCTTAAGGCGGGACCCGCCTCCCAGGAGCCAACTCCGGAGCCCGAGCCCGGGGCGGGGAGACACCTACACCCGTTGCCTCCGGACCCCGGACAACTCAGGACGGACTGAGGCCGAGGTCTGCCCCGCCCGGGTCCCTCGGCTGCCGCCTTCTGGTGAGTGTCTGGGGGCTGCGGGCGGCGGCGAGGGGCGCCAGGAGGGGCTGAGCATATTCGTTGTGCAGGCGCGTTGGACCCACTCTCTGGGATGGGACGGTGCCCCCTCCCCCTAGCCTTGCACGGTTACCTGGGCGGAGCCCCTCCCCCGGCCGTCCTGGGGCCTACGGGGCTGGCCAGGGTGAGCGTGTGTACATGGCTCATCAACTGGTGAGACTCTGAGTAGACAAAATAAACACCCTCCTCTCCCTCGCTTCCTCCTCGCACGGCTGGGCCCTCCGGCATGACCAGTTTTATGAATCAAACCCCTTTCAGGGGATGGCCTAATCGCACGTAGTCTTTGGTTACTTTTCCCTCCTGGGGTCAGACAGTCTGGTGCCCCTGTGCAGACTGGCAGCCTCGGGTCCGTCACACATGGCAGAGCTGGGCCTACAGATTTTCAGGCAGCCTTGGAGAGGAACTGGGTGTGTGTGTAGCTGATAGGTATGCCCCCAGGTGAGAGATGGACCTTGGCTTGCCAGAGCCCTTAGTATTCAGTATCAGGGCATCTTATCTCTGTCAGAGAAGGGGCTTTGCTTGGGCTGCAAACCCAATGGCCTATAGCCAGCCTAGTCCTATGTGTCCCTGAGCTGGCAGTGCTGGGGCCAGAGGACTGCTGAGGTTCCCTGTGGTCACTGGCAGACCAGCTGATTGGTGCCAACCACACTGCTTCACCCCCATTTGTTAACAATTAGCACACCAGGGTTGATGACCACTTCCACTCACTGGAGTCCAGGGGTGGAGTCTGCAGGGTGGAAGATGCCTGAAGGTCCAGGTGTACCCCTGCTTGCTTTTTGCACCAAGGGTAGGTGAGGCTACAGAAAGAGGAATTGGGAGAGCCTCTGTCCCTCTCTAGACCAAGAGCTCCCAGGGCAAGAAACCAGCCTAAATGCAAAAGGTCCTTTCCTGCTAGGCTAGACTTTGGGTGCTGGTACAGAGATGTGGGTGAGCTAGAGCCCTGTGAGGGGCTCCATTCAGTGAAAGCCAGTGTGTACCCAGCTGTTAGCATAGCCCCACAGAACCAGAAGCAGGCAGGTGGGGGATGGGAGAGCAATCCCTTGGGTTTACTGTCCTCTCCCAGGGGATTCAGCCCCTGGGAGCTTCTGTAAACAGAGTGTCAGAGGCAGGAAGAGGTCTCTGGTAATGAGCAGCCCAGCTGGATTCCCTCCAGTCCATTATCTAGCATCTCCCATCCAGGGAGGGAAAGGACCTAGGAGCACACGTGCCATCCTGGGGGCCCAGACACTGCCTGTCTCTAACTCCCCAGCCTTAGAGCTGCACAATGGAACAGACCTGTAGGTCCAGAGGGTCAGATGTAATGGGGTAGAGGGCTGGTGTCCCAGGGTGTTTGGATATCATTCCCTCTAGACCATGGAAGTGAAAGGAGAGATCAGCACAAGGAGCCTTAAGACACTGCCCAGACCTTTGCTCTTCTAGGGAAGATCCCTCTGGCAGACAACCCTGTGGCCAGAGATGTCCAGGCAGATAACCCAAGGCTCTGCCTTCCATTACAGATACCCCCAACTTTGGGGAAGTCAGGAAAAGTCCCAAGGAAGAGCCAGGTCCCTTTGGGGACTCAGTAGTGACCCCTCTTATACTGTATAGTACCCAGGAACAGGAAAGCGGTGCTCCAGCTGGCCCCCAGGAAGTAACTCCCACCTCACCAGCCCATGCAGACAGTCCTCTTGGGTAAGAAAAAACAGGTTGCCCACTGGCAGATCCTAATCTTATGGATGGAACAGGGGTCAGTAACCCCTCCCAGAGCCCCCCTTAGCACCCCTCAGAGCTCCTCCCAGAGCTGTGAAGCCCAAGCTCAGTGTTGCCAAGAAAACCAGCTCCCCTCACTGCTATGGAATTTGCGCGAGTTCTTAGAGAAGGGGGAGGGAGGGGTGTGTGCATACAGACATCACACAGGAGCACTGCCCAGTGGGTGTGTGTCTGGTGTGGTGTGTGTGGGTGTGTGTCTGTGCGCGTGACTGCAGCAGGGCTGTTTGGGGCACGTAGGGGTGCTTTGGTGAGTTGGTGTGCACAGAGGAAGAGCAGGGACTGGACCTCCTTCCTTTTATCAGTTTCCACATTCCAGAGTCAGCCAGGCTGCTTTCCCCAACCCTTCTGTCCAGCCCAGGGCCTCCCCCGCTTTTCCTCATTCCAGCCTCCCTGGGTGTGAGGAGGCTTTCTCTGGCCACCTCGGTTCTAGGGGGCGGGGGCAGGCAAGGGGCCAGTTCTTCTCCAAGGTTGGGGACAGCCACCCCCCCCACCAATGCAATAAGGCTTTGACATTCCTGGAGGCTTCCTGAGAGATTTCATTAAGTAGGAAGGAAGAAACTAGCTTGCTTTGAGAGGGAGTTGGGGAGGGTTGAGGCCCCTGTTCCCTGGGTCCCAGACACTGGGTAGCAAGAATAGCTATGGGGGCAGACTTGTGGTTCAATGCCACACAATAGCTAAGGGTTTGTCTAAGAACGTTGGGTGCCTAGTAGGATGCTGACACAGTATAAGTAGAGTAAGACTCCTTCTGGGGCCACTTCTTAGACTCTTGTGCTCAGCCAGCTTGGAGTAGACAGACTTCCTCAATAACTAAGGTGTTCTGGCAAGTTTGGGGTTAATTGCAGGTTACAGCTTATTCAATGGGTACCTGGTCCTGGGCAGGGACAGGGTAGTGAGGAGGCCCAGCCCCAATGGCATCACACCTGCCTCGAGCTGACAATGGCATTCGAGCTGACAATGGCATTCGACTGGCCCACTTCTAGTTGGGCCACAGCCATCACATAGCTCCTGGGGCACAGGTGTCCTTACCCAACAGGTGGCACCTCTCCTAAGATGGCATGTCCTGCCACCCTGCGGGCTTACTTGAGCAGGCGACTAATCTTAGTCATTGGTCTCCCTGCCCTGGGCTGACAGGTCTGGCAGCAGCCAGGTCACCCACAGGGCCACTAAGATCTACCTGGGGACAGGCCAGGCTAGCCTCTTGGAAGAAGAAAAGGGCCCAGCCACCAGCCTAGCCACAACTGATCTGAGACCCAGAACACATTTCCAGGACAGACATATGAACTAAGCTGATATCTTGCCTGGTTTCTCTCTCTCTCTCTCCCTCTCTCTCTCTCTGCCTCCCTCCCTCTCTCCCTCCCGAGCACTGTGATTAAATGCATATACCACCATGCCCAGCCTGATTGTCCTTTTTGCAGCTTCTCTAACTATAAACAGGACCCACCAGAGGACTTTTCCCAAAATGTAGCTGCTTGGATTGCCCCAACAGGAGTGGGTTTGTTTGTTTTTTAATTGGATGGGACCTAAGGAATTAAGGTTTTAAAGAGCTTCCTAGGGAATCCTGACCTACAGCTCAGGTAGAGATGGAAGCCCAGAGGGGGCAGGGAGTTAGGGTAAGGTCACAAAGCAGAATGAGCAGTACTGGCTTAGGACCCCCGGCCTAATTACCAACCTGGGCTATGCCCTCTCCTACCTTTTGCACAAGGATGATGGAGACCCTCAGCCCCTTGCTGGGCCAGGGTTGGGGTGTCCTACAGAAGGGGAGATGGGGTGGACCCAACCAGGGCTCAGGGCCCAGAGCCTTCTTGGACACGTCAGCAAAACCAGAGCCAGCCGTTTTGGCCGCCAGCATAGTCCCGCCTGCCTGGAGGGGGTTGGCAGACTCCTGGGGCTGGTCTGTTGCCAGGCCTGGCCAGCAGTGGAGAACTCATTCGGGCCAGCATCGGGAGGCAGAGGCTTAGAGCCCAGAGCTGAAAGTCAGACCTTGTAAAGCCCATCCTCTGCCTACAAAGAAGTCTGCAAAGAGGGGGTAGGCTCTTTCTGAACTGGCCTCTCCTCCACCCAGCTAGGCATATGGCCCACCCTAGCCTCAGAGATGCACCAGCTCCAGGGCTGATGTGGTCACCAAATGCCTGGGTTCTACCCCACCCACTCGTCTGTCCCTGCCTAATCCCAGGCATGTGTGTAAGTGGGTGCCCAGAAGTGTGTCACATACTTGGGGGAGGGGTGGAGGCTACTCTGGGTCCCCAAGAGCTGGATGATGAATGCCCTTAGTCAACCTTACTCACAGGGCCCCTCCTGCAGGTCATATGCTGTAGGAAGCTGGGCCAAAGGACAGCTTATCCACGTACCCCTTCCTAGAACTAAGGCTATCCCACCCACTTTCCTATCACCCTGAGAATGGAGGGCAGCCTGGTTATGTGGCCTTGAACTGGGTCCAAGAGGTCTCTGGTTAGTATGAAAGTGGTACAGAAGACTGAGACGCTCCACAGTGGGCCAATGAAGCAGTCAAGGGCTCCTGGCTTATAGGTGATGCCCTCAGTGGGGCACTTAGCAAATACTCAGGGAAGCAGGTACTATGACTAGCCCCATTCACATATGGGTGCTAAAGTAGGGTTTGTGGTCCAGTTCCAACAGCCAGACCACCTAAACACCCCACCCTAGCTCCTGGGTGCTGGACAGCCAGGCCTCTGCTTTCTGCTTCTGTTTACCAAGCTGTGGTAGGGTCAGTCCAAGGCAGGCTGCAGAGTTGAGGAGGACTGACTCTCCATCACTAGGGTCCTCCTGACCCCTAAAAACTAGGGCTGCTCCAGAACTCTTCCCACACCCTTTCTAGAAGAAAAGGTCTCCCTTCCCTGGCCCTATCCAGGGATCAGATAGCAAAGCAAAGACTGTGGTCCTGTCAGAACCACTATAATCAGTGGATAGCAAAGGGTAATGGCAATTCCTGAGGCCACCCACCCCCATCTCTACATACAACTAGGCACAAGTACCTAGACCTTAGACAAGCTGAATGACTTCAGAATTTGTTCAAAGAATTCCCTGTGCCAGACATGGTGGTACACCCTTTAATCCCAGCACTTGGGAGGCAGAGGCAGGCAGATCTCTGTGAGTCCAAGGCCAGCCTGGTCTACATAGTGAGTTCCAGGCCAGCTGGGGCTATAGGGAGACCGTCTTAAAAAACACCAAAAAAAAAAAAAAGGGTGGGGGGGGGGGGGGGCCCACCTGTAGTCCCAGCCCTTGGGAGGCAGAGGCAGGCAGATCTCTGTGAGTCCAAGGCCAGCCTGGTCTACATAGTGAGTTCCAGGCCAGCTGGGGCTATAGGGAGACCGTCTTAAAAAACACCAAAAAAAAAAAAAAGGGTGGGGGGGGGGGGGGGCCCACCTGTAGTCCCAGCCCTTGGGAGGCAGAGGCAGGCAGATCTCTGTGAGTCCAAGGCCAGCCTGGTCTACATAGTGAGTTCCAGGCCAGCTGGGGCTATAGGGAGACCGTCTTAAAAAACACCAAAAAAAAAAAAAAGGGTGGGGGGGGGGGGGGGCCCACCTGTAGTCCCAGCCCTTGGGAGGCAGAGGCAGGCAGATCTCTGTGAGTCCAAGGCCAGCCTGGTCTACATAGTGAGTTCCAGGCCAGCTGGGGCTATAGGGAGACCGTCTTAAAAAACACCAAAAAAAAAAAAAAGGGCTGGGCGTGGTGGTGCACACCTGTAGTCCCAGCACTTGGGAGGCAGAGGCAGGCAATCTCTGTGAGGTCAAGGCCTACCTGGTCTACATAGTGAGTTTCAGGCTAGCTGGTGCTGCAGAGGGACCCTGTCTCAAAGCCCCCCAGCCAATAGCCTGAAACTTGCAGAGTTTTTCAAAACCCTGGTACCATCTCCTGCCTCAGTCTCCCTTGCTGGGAGGGGTAAAGCTGAGGCTCAGGCAAAGAAACTTAAACCCATTTCTTGGGGGAATGGAAATTGGGTTGGCTATTACCTGCAGGGTCTTCTTGGCCCAGGACTCTGATCTAATTAGTTCCCTCTCCCACCAACTTGAATGCATATTCCATACCTTATGACCTGCTAGCCTGGTGGCCATCCTATGGCCAAACACACATGCATGTCCTTTTCTCCCTTCACCCCTTTAATGACTCCTGATGCCAAGCACAGCAGAATAGGAAGCCCAGAGCATGGCTGGTCCCCTCAATGCAGAGTGGGGATCACATTGCTGACATATCCATCCTGCCCCCTATAGCTCTGAGGTGGCCAGGATGCACTGAAGAAACTGAGGTACTAAGTACAAAGCCACTGACTTGATTTAAACAACTCTGAGTATAGGGCTGTCTGCCTTGAGCAAGCTTTTAACTATGACCTTATACAAGGCCCATGGGGAGACAATCTGCAGTGTGGCCAAGCTGGCTATGTGTAGGGTCCCCTCCTGCCAGACCCTAGCCTGGCCCCACTGAGAGGGCTGATTCAGAGAGATGTGGCTCATTTGCTTAGATGGGAGGTGAGCGAGGGTCACTTAAAGCCCACATCCAGAGGTTAGGCACCACCCTCCAAAACAGGTAAAACAAGTCCTATGGGGTAAGGGGCCTGGGAGTACACCTAATGGGGCCTTAGATGTAGAAGCAGAGCCCCCAAGCACTGAAGTGGTCTCTCAGTAGAGATGAGCTACATAGGCTCTGGAGACTATGGAGCAAAGGCAGAAAGGGTCTCTGCCATAGGGAGTAATTAGCAGACCAAATACACAGGGCAGGCTAAGAGTGGAAGCTGGCAACCCTGTGGTTCAGCTGGCTTCTCCAAGGTATTTATTACTGTTAACTAGCAAGGAGTTCCAGGCACAAGGTGCCTGGGAGAGGTCACTACCCTAGCAGAGGGGACACTTCAAGTAGATACGGGCCTTTTGGCCTAACTTGCGCAACAAGGCTTTTCCTTTCACCTAGAGCTGGCCTAAGACCCCAGGTACCTAACTCACCTGTCCTGGGACCCCTTGCCCATCTTCTTCCCTTTCACAGACATTTTCATAGGGCCCTTGTACCTGGGTGCAGAAGTGGGGAATCCATGGGACAATGGTAAAGGCAGGCCAGGTGGGGGTCTTGTTACCTGTTGTGGTCATGTGGGGGAGGGGAGGCCCCAGTTGCAGTATAAAATGCCCTTGTATGAGCAGCAGGTGCCTGGAAGGGGAGGGAGTTGATGGCCACTGGGCAAGACTACCTGCCTGGGGACAGGCTGGCACCCCATACAGGCTCAGGCTTTTGGGGCACCCAAGGTGAGGTCTATGCCTGGGTTTGGGCCTCAGCACCTCCTAAGAACCTGAGTGAAGTGGGCAAACTGTGGATCTATTTCATCTCAGGCTAAGAGGGGAAATCCTTACCCTTGATAGGTTGTTAAACATAGGGCCCTAGAGGGCACAGACCCTGTCCCAGAAGCACATTCTGTCACACTGGATGTACTCAAACCACCCCCCTGGGCTCCAGCTCAGACTCTCTGGCACCTCCATAGGTTCCTCTGTTACTCTGAAGTGATAAGAACAACTTCTACCTAAATTGGCTAAGGGAACTGAGGTGGCTATTTACAAAGCAGGCACTGGCATATGGGAAGGAGAGGTCACTATCAGTGCTAGGGGATGTGCTGCACCTCATTCTGGGGGTTCAGCCCAGATCAGACTCCCAAAACTATTTGAGGAGTCAGCCTGAGGTAACTGTCCAACCTGGCACTATCACAGACCACCACACATTATTGTCCCTCACCTTAACTCCAGGGTTCCTCATCTCTGGTTCATGCTTTGGAGATAGAGGACTGAAAAAGTTTCCATCTCTTCACATCCCTCCCTGGGACAAGAGGCACCTGCCAAGAAAAGGCTTGCAGCTAGCCTCTACTCCTCCTCTAGGAACCTTGCTGTTAGCCACATCCTGGCAGCCCACAGCCCTCATCCTGGGCAGGTCTAAAAACAAATGGAAAAACACCGATCTCATAGTTTCCACGTGGAGTCTTTCCGCTGCAGTCTCTCCTCACTCAGAGGAGGGAGGGATACAGAGTGTGGTGCAGGGGCCAGCAGCCCTGGACAGCCAGCTTCTCTTCTTAAGTACCCGGGCTAACTGCCCACCCTGTCTGCACAGATGCTGCAGGGAGGGGCTCTAGGACCCTCCTCTTTCCTTATCCATGCATCTGGCTGGAAGGACTGGCCTAGTCAGAGACAGGAGGGCTAGGGTTGAGGAAGGGGAAACTGTGTTGTCAATTAGCATTCAGTAGCTGTTGGTCCCTGTGGTAACCTCTACATGTATCCTTTCCATGTAACCTCTACATGTTGGATGTTCCTGACAGCTAACACCATAATATGATCACATGGTGAGGGATAATGGAGATGGGCCAGGAACCAGCCAGGGACCTGACTCACAAATGATAGTCTCTGCATCTGGGGGTGGGGAGTGGTAAATTCCCCTCTGGCCCTTCTGGTTTGTCTGCCCTCAGCCTTGACTCACAGCCTCTCTGCTTCCAGGGACAGAAGATGCTCTCCAGGAGCTACCTGCCGACGCCCTTGCTGCTGCTCCTGCTGCTGCTTGTAGGGCCCACAGTGCAGGGCTGCCCATCTGGTTGCCAATGCAACCAGCCACAGACAGTCTTCTGTACTGCCCGCCAGGGAACCACAGTTCCTCGAGACGTGCCACCTGACACAGTACGCTTGTACATCTTTGAGAACGGCATCACCACAATTGAGGTGAGCAGTTTTGCTGGCTTGCCAGGCCTGCAGCTCCTGGACTTGTCACAGAATCAGATCACCAGCTTGCCAGGTGGCATCTTTCAGCCACTTGTCAACCTCAGCAACCTGGACTTGACTGCCAACAAGCTGCACGAGATCACTAACGAGACCTTCCGTGGTCTGCGGTGCCTTGAGCGCCTCTACCTGGGCAAAAACCGCATTCGACACATCCAGCCTGGTGCCTTTGATGCACTTGACCACCTTCTGGAGCTCAAGCTGCAGGACAACGAGCTTCGGGTGCTGCCCCTACTGCACCTGCCACGCCTGCTGCTGCTTGACCTCAGCCACAATAGCCTCCTAGCCCTGGAGCCTGGCATCCTGGACACTGCCAATGTGGAGGCATTGCGGTTGGCTGGTCTGGGGCTGCAGCAGCTCGATGAGGGGCTCTTTGGCCGCCTGGGCAACCTCCATGACTTGGATGTGTCTGACAACCAGCTGGAGTATATACCATCTGTGATACAAAGCCTGCGTGGCCTGACGCGCCTGCGGCTGGCTGGCAACACCCGCATTGCCCAGCTGCGGCCTGAGGACCTGGCTGGCCTCGCTGGCCTGCAGGAGCTAGATGTGAGCAACCTGAGCCTGCAGGCCCTACCCAGTGACCTTTTGGGCCTCTTCCCCCGCCTTCGTCTCTTGGCAGCTGCCCGAAACCCCTTCAACTGTTTATGCACCTTGAGCTGGTTTGGGCCTTGGGTACGTGAGAGCCACATCACTCTGGCCAGCCCTGAGGAGACTCGCTGTCACTTCCCACCCAAGAATGCTGGCCGATTGCTCCTGGATCTGGATTATGCAGACTTTGGCTGCCCAGTCACTACCACCACAGCCACGGTACCCACCATGAGGCCTGCTGTCAGGGAGCCCACACCCTTGCCTTCTAGCCTGGCTCTCACATGGCCCAGCCCTACAGATCCAGCTACCCAGGTCCCTAGCCTACCAGCCACTGTCCCACCAACCATGAAGCCTGCTCCTCAACCACAGGACTGCCCAGTATCTACCTGCCTCAATGGTGGTAGCTGCCAAGTCGGTGAAAAGCACCACTGGGAGTGCTTATGCCCTGAGGGTTTCATTGGCCTGTACTGTGAGAGCCCAGTGGGGCAGGGGATGAAGCCCAGTCCCATGCCAGAGACCCTAAGGCCCCCGAGGCCCTTGCTTCTCAGCATTGAGCCAGTGAGCCCCACCTCCTTGCGTGTGGGGCTGCAGCGCTACCTGCAAGGCAGCACTGTGCAGCTCCGGAGCCTCCGCCTTACCTACCGCAACCTGTCTGGCCCTGACAAGCGGCTGGTGACCCTACGGCTGCCTGCCTCACTTGCAGAGTACACAGTTACCCAGCTTCGACCCAATGCCTCCTATTCCATCTGTGTCACACCCTTGGGGGCTAGGCGAGTGCCTGAGGGTGAAGAGGCCTGTGGGGAGGCCCGCACACCCCAAGCTGTCCGCTCCAACCATGCCCCTGTCACTCAGGCCCGTGAAGGCAATCTGCCACTCCTCATCGCACCTGCTCTAGCTGCTGTGCTTCTTGCTGTGCTTGCTGCTGCAGGGGCAACCTACTGTGTACGGCGTGGCCGGGCAGCAGCTGCAGCTCAGGACAAAGGTCAGGTGGGACCAGGGGCTGGGGGGCCCCTGGAGCTTGAGGGGGTGAAAGCCCCCTTGGAGCCAGGCCCTAAGGTGACAGAGGTAAGTGGAGAGACACTGCCAAGTGGGCCTGAGTGTGCGGTACCCCTTATGGGCTATCCAGGGCCCAGTCTTCAGGGGACCCTCCCTGCTAAGCACTACATCTGAGCCGGGAAAGATGGAGCAGCCAGGGGCCCAGGCTCTCAGCCACCACCCTGCAGCTGCCACACAAGGAAATTCTCAATGTGTACTATGGGGTATATGCATGATGGCACTATGGGACTGTAGCCAGTCCCTGCCCCTCTCAGGGCTGGGTCCTCTCATCTGTGAGCTGTTGCAACCTGTGAGCTCTCACAGCCCCAGCTCCATTATGTACAGAACAGGCACCTGCCATCTTCTGCACTGTGCAATCCTGGGGTATGGGCCCTGCCACCATGTGCTGGTAACATGGTTGGGCCCTATTGGACTTCCCCAGCCATGTAGGACTTGAGACCAGTGAAGGAAGCCTCCAGAAATAATGGGTGGGGCAGTCCCTTGGCTGTGACCTCAGCCTGAGAAGCACAGGAACACTTGAAACTGGAAAGGAAGGTGCCCTGGGCACATGCAGATTTGCTTCTAATTGTTTTGTGTTTTTTAAAATATATTTATAAAAGATCTTTTCCCATTTATGCTGGGAAAATGTTTTTCAAACTCAGTGACAAGGACTTTGGTTTTTGTAAAGACAAATGGTGATATGAAGGCCTTTTGTAAAAAAATAAAAAATAAAATGAGTTGACTGTCTCTCTGGTTGGGCCTGGGGTATGTGGCCTGCATGCTCTGTAAACAGCCATGGTCGTCATGGTCCCAGGTCGGATCTGGGCTTGGCAGGGCTGCTGCTGAGGGCCTCCCCCAGGATGCCTGAAAGCAGGAGTCATGACCCAGGGTGAGGTCAAGACCTAGGTGGGGCAAAGCCACCTCAAATCTCAGGGAAAGGGACTAGTTAGAGTAGCTCACCCTAGCCAAGCCTAGTCTTCTGCCAGCAGGAGCCTCAGTGTCTATGTGTGAGGCTAGGAGAGACTCATGGTAGACATAGGGCACAGAGGGTCCCCAAAGGAGGTCACACCCTCCTCAGACAGTCTGAAGAGCAGTTTACCCGTTTTCCTTTAGATGAGTCTTGAGCTTCTCATTTCAGCACCTCATGGCTGATCCTGGGACCAGGTAGCTTTTAGACTCTTCTGCGGAGCCCTAGGTTGGCCAGATATGTGTGGCCCCAGCTCCTTCCTGCTGTCTCTACTACCCCTGGCACAGTAGAGAAATCTGCTCTAGCCAAGCTGTGAAGAAGGCCATTGGTTAGGGAAGCATGAGTCACCAAGGCAAGAAGCCTGATGGGCAGGAAGGGGGACGAAGATAGAACATTAGTAGCAGGGACAGGGTCAAAAGGCTGTCTGGCTTGCAGATGGTGCCATGCATGGTAGTCTTGGGTGCCCCTTTACCTCCTGCCCTGGGGAGGTGCCCAGCCAATTTGTAACCTCAAGGAGGGAGTGTTTTCTAGGAAAACCACAGGGTAGGTGTGGCGGGGCTAGGTTCAAGAAGGTTATGGCCTGGCCTGGGTGCCAGGAGCTCTGAAAAGTGATGAATACACAGCATCTTTGCCTGTTACCTTCAGGGCTGAGAGGTAAGGTGGGCCCTGGGGCAGTGGTGGGGCCCACCATAAAATGAAGCTAGCCAGAGGCCCCAATGCCAATGTCTTTCTTTGGGTCATTGCCCTGTCACTTAGTCTCACTCCTAAAGGGAAGGAGGTGGCCCAGCCAGGTCTGGGGAGCAGGCCCTGTGGTTTGGAGTATTGATGTCAGCTCCAAGTCAGGCCTAGCCACTCGAGGCTCTGGATTCAATTAGTGGCTGCTAAGGGATCAGGCAAGAGGGAGGGTGTGGGTGGTGGGTCGTGTGGGTAGCGGGTGGCAGCACTGGGCCTGGGTGGGGCCCCTTCCTACTGAGGCAGCGGTGGTGACGGCAGCAGCCCAGGTGGATTTCCTGTAGGCCTGGATCCTATTAGGGAACCAGCGGTAATGAGGCCCACCGTCCCCCTCCCCAGCAGCCCCATCAAAGGGGCCTTTGCAGCCTGTGGGCCACTGATAAAGATGGCAGCTGCTGAGTAAATGTTTTTGCTGCAAAGCAAACCTAGTTAAGAAAGATGGCAGAGTAGGATGGCACGACCCCGAGAAAGGAGCCTCTCAGAAAAGGTATTCAGATCACCCCATTTCCTGATGGGGCCTAGGCTAAGATGCACGTCTACCAAAGACCAGCCCCACTGTTATGTTTTCTCACCACAGACACTATTACTTGGGGCTCCATAAGCTCACATTCTAAGCCCAACAACCCCCTTTGCAGAAGAGTGAAACAGCAGCAACTTGCTCATAGGAGGCATGGGATTCAAGGCTGGAGAAATGGCTCAGTGGTTAAGAGCACTGGCTGTTCTTATAGAGGACCCAAGTTTGATTCCCAGCAACCACATGGCAGCCAACAACCATCTGTAACTCTAGTTCCAGGGGATCCAACACCCTCTTCTGACCTCTGTGGGTACTGCACCACATGGGTGCACTTACATACATGCAGGCAATACACTCATACACATAAAAATAATAAATTATGGGCTGGAGTGATGGCTCAGTTGTTAAGAGCACTGACTGCTCTTGCAGAAGACCTGGGTTTGATTCCCAGCACCCACATGGTGGCTAAGAATCATCCTTAACTCCAGTTCCAGGCCCTCTTCTGACCTCTGAGGCATTGCATGACACAGGTGCACTCACATACATGCAGGCAATACACTTGTACACATAAAATAAAAATGATAAATATTTTTTAAAAGATAGATGGGATCCCAACACCTCCTCTCTGGCCCAAAGAAGGGTAACTAGCATGGGGAAGAACACTGCAAGTCATAGCCCTGCTGCTCCACAAGGTAGGACCTACAGTTTGCCCACATCTTCCCACCATCTTCATATATAACCCCAAAGTTCATACCCATCTCTTCCCATGCTGTGCCCAGGGCCTGGCACACAGGATATGCTGGAAAGCCCTCTGGCTGGTAGCCTGAGCCCTCCTTATGGCCTGAGGAGGCCTGGCTGTCAGTCTGCCACTCTTCCCACTGTGGCAAGTGTCCTCATAGACACTAAAAATGATAAGAGCACAGAGATGGGAACCACAACAGAGGACCCTGGGAGAGGAAGAGGAGGGGGATGGGCATGTACCTAACCCTTGGCCCCTCTAACTCATATGAGTACACACTGTTCTACCTAAACCAAGATGGAAAATTTTTAACAGAAGAAATCAAAGGTCACTGAGTGGACACAGATGCCAACCTCCCTCATGGCTATACCCACAATTAGAGCCCTGCACACTTTCCATCTTCAATCATGGGGGTAAAGGGACTCTGTTTTTCAGGACACCTGGGAGGACAAGAGGACCTGCCACCTCTCTGAACAGCCTGGATACTGGCACGCATCCCTGGCATCTAACAGCTTTGTGGAGGTTGGAGAGTCCCAGTTCCTTTGCCAAGGGTGTCAGCCTGCCAGGATAGAGGCCAGGGCTGGAGGACTAAGAGAAGGGAAGCTTGACCTGGCAGCCCATCTGGGAGTGATTTGACAAATTCCAGTCCTGTTGGTCCTTCGAGGCTATTCTTAACTGCTATAATTACAGGGTCAGCCTTGGCCAGTGGCACCAAGGGGTCTGGGCATTAACTCTTCTAAGGGCCATGCTAAGAGTGGGCAGGAGATGGCTCTGCAGGGGAGGGCACCACTACCACTGAGGGTAGAGCCTGGCAGGCAGGAAGTGGTAGGTGAAGAGCAGTTATTGATGGTGCCAGGTCCCTTCATACCCACAGTACCTCTGCTGGGGGCCTATAGGGAATGGGTCACCTGGCTTGAGGAGGTCTGGAAGATAAAGTGAGAGGCCTGGGCTAGGTATACAGGATAGATGCTGGCTGTATCTAAGGCCCAGCAACACTGAGTCCTCTGGGACAGGGCCTAGCACCAGAGCAGGTATAGGTTGATGATAGTACTGCCTCAGCCCCTTACCTCCTGCTCCTGTGTGATTTCAAGGAAAGCCCTAAATCTGGCTCAACTTTGCCTTCTTTATCTGTAAAATGAGTATTGCTAACATCTCAGACTCTCCTTGAGAGTCTTTGTCTCCCTGACCATAACTTATTCTCTGAGGGTGCAAAGAAGACCCCTCCAGCATTCCTTGGCTCTCAATGTACCCTTGTTCCTGGAGCTTTTTCACAGACTCCTGCCCCTCTGTGATTCAGATTCTTCAGTTTTGAAATACAAAAAAGATGGGCTGGATAAGCTAGCCAAGGCCTCAAGTATTCCCAATCAACCTGCCCAGGAGGGTTCTCAGCAGACCCTTCCATGGGTTACACCCAAGCCTTCAGAACAGGGTCTGAGTCCTTGCCTCCTTCCCATGTAGTGGTACCTGGCTAAGTCTCTAATCCTCTTAGAGCCACAGCTTCCACAGCTGTCCATGATTGAATGGACTGTCTCTTGCAAATACCTGCCATGGCCTCATAGAGGCCAGTTCTTAAGCCACTGTAGGACAAGGCCATCTCCACATAGAGGTGCTCAGCTTGGCCAGGGGCCCTACCAGGCATTGCTACAAACCCTACTCCACACACTTCAGGGGGGCAGGAATGGAAGGATGTGGTACACATGGATCTCTGTGTTACCTGGGCACCAGCCCTACTTTGGGTCAGACCAGGGACTTATGTGGCAGGTGCTGAGCAAGCTTCTTATATAAGCCTCCAAGTAGGAATCCAAGCCCAACCCTACCTGCCACATGCACCTCCAAGTATGCCCATCTGCTCCATCACATCCATATATGTCCTCCTTCCTGCCACAGCCTCAAATATCCTTGGGTTCTTAACCCCATGAAAACATCCACAGCAAAATTAAGCCCACTCCTACACTTTCCCCTCAACAACACATTTGTAAGGTTACAGCTCCTACTCCAAATGTCAAAATACCTGCATGAACCTCAAGCTATGAAGCCTGCCCCATGACTGAGGGACTATCCTGCTGACAGGGATCCAAGAGGAAAGGGCAAGGCCATTCATTGGCCCATTTAGGACTGCTTCAGTGCCCCTTGCTGGTAAAGTCAGTTGGGGATCCTGGAGGGCTGGGCCAGGGCTCTTTGGCAAAGACCTTGCAGCTCAGGCTCAGGTATCTGCCACACACTCTAGTTACCAGCCACTCCTACTGACAGGGGGCCTCACCAAAGCACCACACTGCACACCAGGCCTGAACTCAGGACACCTTCTATACCCTCAATTCAGTCCCCCAGCATGCCACAGCTCCTACCCAGATGACGTGCCCAGGGTGAGGGAGGCCAGAGCGCTGGAGAAGAGTCGGGTGTCCCAGAGCTTCACTTCTCGCTCACGCATCTGTGGGGAGAAGTAGAGAGAGGCTTAGAGGTCTATTCCCTCCTGGAACCCAGTGCCTGAGGGTGCAGCCTGGCAGCATTACCTGCCCCAGACCAGCAGGGAGTCATGCCAGGGAGGGAGAGTTTGGGTTTTCAAGTCCTGCCCCTTTAAGAACCCTTAGGTGATAAGGGACAAGAGGCGGTTCTCTCCATGGACTCTGATCCCTGCGGGGCCGTCACCGTGGCTCCCAGGGTCGGACTTAGCTATTACAAATGGAATCTGCCAGTTTTCCGAAGCTGTCCGTCCCTTGGGGCCTTGAGACCAGGCTTCACAACCAGGCCGTATATGGATAGGCCTGGAACTGCACCCCCACTCCCACCCCACCTTCTGGGAGCAGGAGCCTAAAGGGTTAGACATGTCCCCATCTGGCAGTGCCCTGCGTGCTGTAGGAATTACTACCTGGTTGAATCCAGTGGACACAAGGTGCTCCTGGGTACTTGTCCAAGCCAGCTGGCTGTCCTTGCTATTCTCATGGGCCTTTGTGCTCTGCAGGAGACAAGAGACAGCAATAAGTCACCAGGGCCCCCTACTGGGGACAAGGATTCCTTGGGTAACCAGGAGGTGGGGAGTTCTGCGCCCACCTGTCTGAGCACCCACAGAAAACAGGAGATCCTGAAGGTCATATGTGACACAGAAAGGACCCTACCTCAGCATCTGAGGGCAGCTCTGTAACCAGGAGCCACTGGGATCAGGGTTGATCTTCTTCCTTATCAGAGGGCTAGAATACTAGGGTCAAAGCCAGCAATAATTTCTTACCTCTGAAGGTGCCCTGAGAAGGCACATGGCTGAGGATCCGCATCTAATAACTATGTGGCCCTGGGGAATGCATTCCCTCTCTGATTCCATTTTTCCCCTTGTAAATGAGGCACATAGTGCTCATACCACCCACTCCCTGGCGCTGCCTCTAGGATCAACTGAAAGTATGCGTGGAAGGACTGGGACTTCAGAAAAGCCCCGTGCAAATCACAGGATTAGAAGGATTATTGCTGCCTCCTGTCACTGCCAGCAGGCCAGAAGGAGGGCCTAGGGCCAAAGCTGGGGAACATTCCAAGGAGGGTGGAACAGTGCCCCTGATGGCTCAAAGCCCCCAGGAAAGAAAAAGTTCACACAATGGGGTGGGGAGTGGCCCTGTCCTCTTGGGCCTGTGCAGGAGGGAGTCCAGAGGCCAGAGGAAATGCGAACAGCTCCCTCCCCAGTCACCCTGGCCCCTGGAGCCTGAGACAAGGACCCTGTTACCAAAAATAGCTCACCCTAAATGTGGCCAGCCTCCTCCAAGCTTCCCACGATCTCCTTGGGAATGAATGAGGGAGGGAAGCAGCGGCAAGAAGCTGGCCCAGGGCCCCCTCCCCAGTACACAGAGGCTGACCCCAGCGTGGGAGACTGCTGGAAACGCTCCGCCTGTCCTTCAAGGGGTTTTTCTCACTGTTCCCTTCCCACCCGGCTACAGTGGCACAGGAAGTTGGGGCTGGAGCCTAAGAACCAAGGCCCCACACTCATCTCTCCATGTAAGAGGAGATGTGGGGTCAGAACTAGGGCCAAGTCATTGACTAGTTCCACCTCTGGCGGACCATAGTGGGTCAGCAGTGTCATTTAGGCTCTTATTCCTCCACCATGTGCAATATCCTTTGTGAAAGTGCAAACCAGATGGCTCACAACCGGTCTGCATATCACACACTCACATGCATTTATTCATTCAACAAACATGTGAGGCATCCCATGGGTGAAGGGTTGTACTAGGAGTCAGCAGTGGGGCAGGGCATGTCTCAAAAGGAGAATCAAGAATGTGAGTGGCCAGGCGTGGTGGTGCACGCCTGTAGTCCCAGCACTTGGGAGGCAGAGGTAGGTGAATCTCTGTGAGTTCAAGTCCAGCCTGGCCTACATAGTGAGTACCAGGACAGCTAGGGCTACAGGGAGACCCTGCTTCAAAAAGACAAAAAAAAAAAAAAAAAAAAAAAAGAAAGAAAAGAAAAGAATGTGAGTGAAGGACGGGCATGGTGGCGTCTACCTTTAGTCCCAGCACTCAGGAGACAGAAGTAGGCGGATCTCTGTGAGTTTGAGGCCAGCCTGGTTTACACAGTGAGTTCCAGGCCAGCTGGGGCTACTGGAAGACCCTGTCTCAAAAAGACCAAAAATAAAAAAGAAATAAAAAATAAAAATAAATAATAAAAGAATGTGAGTGAAGCCAAATGTAGTGGTACATGCCTTTAATCCCAACAGAAGCATGGGGGACTCTGTGAGATCGAGGCCAATCTGGTCTACATAGTTCCAGGCCAGCTGGGGCTACAGGAGACCCTGTCTAAACAAACAAAAAATGTGAGGTTGCTCATTTTTTCTTTCATAATGTGACTATTCAAGCCATATGCTATGTTCGGAGCTGTAGACACAGTGAATGAAGCAGAAAAGCCCATGGAACATATGTATCAAGAGGCTAACTAGAATGAACAGAATAATGTCATAGCAGTTAAGTGCCACAAAGCAGCAAAGGGAAGGTTATAGGTGGAAGCCCTGCCTCCACTGCCCCCATCCCTGTATGAATTATTACCAGGTGGACTACAAGTAGGTCCTGCTGGGATATGACCGTTGTCCCCATAGGTCACCAGGCCATCCTGATGCTTAAGGAAAAACCCCAAGAGGTCTTTGCTGCCACTCAGTCCCTTGACAATTCTCCCCATACCTGACCTGAAGAACAGGAAAGGCTTGTGGCCTGGCAGCACCCACTCAGCCACAACTAGGAGGGGAGTTGCATAGTCATCATTCCAGCTGTGGTACAGCCAAAGCCACTCTCCATTGCCATGGTAATGCTTTCTGTGCGGGGTAGGGAACTCTAGGCTTCTTCCTGGGGTAAGGGAACTTTCTCCAGTGAAAAGACACTACCAACCCCCATTACTGTCCAACCACCTGACCACCATGTTCTTCCTCAGCCAGTCACCCTGACATGACACTAGGAGGTAGTTAGGAGGCACATGCCCAAAAAAGAGGTCAGAGGGTTGATTCTAGCCCCCTCCTGATTCTGATGAGCATCCAGTCACCACCACTGACCCCTATGATCCCCCAAGAGATCAGCAACTGAGTTGCTGTTTCCCTGGAATAGCCATGGCTTCAGGACTTTGGCTCAGGAGGTCTAGGGGCTCAGAGAGACCCAGCTAAGCTTCTGCTACTCTGCTGCATCCTGGTCAATGAAAGAAATGACCTGATCCTCAAGAGTCCTAGCCTGGGCAACAAAAGAAACCAGAAAGTTGACTTTCTAGGAGAGCCATCGGAATGAGAGGGAGTCATACACACTAAGTATGTGGGACGTAATGCATAAATGCAGCTAAGAAGGAAAGGAGGAGCTGAGTGTGGTGGCACAAGTTTTTAATCCCAGTAGGTAGAGGCAGGTAGATTCAGGCCAGCCTGGTCTACACAGCAAGTTCCAGGCCAATCAAGGTGATATAGTAAGACCTTGCCTTAAAAAAAAAGGGGAGGGGGAGAGGGATTGGAGGCTGGGGAGATGGTTCAGTGGTTAGGAGCACTAGCTGCTCTTGAGGATCTGTTTGGTTCCTAGTACCTACATGGCAGCTAACAACCAACTGTAACTCCAGTTCCAGGGGATCCAATGCCCTCCTCTGACCTCTGTGAGCACTGCACGACATGGGTACACTTACATATATGCAGGCAATACACTCATACACATAAAAATAATAAATAAAAAGCATTTTTTTTAAAGTAGGAAGTCAAGCATGTGCCTCCTGCCTATAACTGCTCAGGAGGCTTAGTCAGGAGGTCACTTAAGCTGGGTGAGGTGGCACATGCTTTTAACCTGTAGGAAGATCCCTGTGAGTTCAAGACCAGCCTGGTCTACATAGTAAGCTCCAGGCCAGCTGGGGCTACACAGAGACCCTGTCTCAAAAAGACCAAAAAAAAAAAAAAAAAGAGAGAGAGAAAAGGTCACTTGAATGCAGGAATAAAGAACAGCCTGGGCAACACCTCCATCTCAAATATAATACAAATTAAAAACCAAGCTGTAATTCCAGTACTGGAGAGGTAGAGCTTAGGATCAGGAGTTCGAGACCAGCTTCAGCTACACAGTGAATTTGAGGCCAATGTATACTACATGAAAACTTGTCTCAAAACAAAATAAAAAAGCATAAATAAAAATTGAGCTGGGCATGGTGGTACATGCCTTTAATCCCAGCACTTGGAGGCAGAGGTAGGCGGATCTTTGTGAGTTTGAGGCCAGCCTGGTCTACATAGTGAGTTCCAGGACAGCTGGGGCTACAAGGAGACCCTGTCTCAAAAAGACAAAAAAAAAAAAAAAATTGAAATAAAAAATTAAAACGAAGTAGGGGGTCAAGTGTGATGACCCAGGCCTTTAATCTCAGCACTCTGAAGGCAGAGGCAGGTGGACCTTTGTGAGTTTCAGGCCAGCCTGGTCTACATAGGAAGTTCCAGGACAACCAGGGCTATATTAATGAGACCTTGTCTCAAAACAAAAACCAAACCAAAACAAACAACAAAAAAGTAGGAGTATAAAACAATAGGGAACCACCCAAGGGTCCTCTGCTCTAAACTCAAGTGGCTAAAGGCACAGTCCAAAGATGACAGTGGAGAGGACTCCACTGTATATGTGTAACCTCTAGTCTCTGGGGGCAGTAAGGTTCAGATAAGGAGAGACTCAGAAAGGTCAGATAGGATGCAGAGTGATACATTCTATTGCCCCCAACCATGACTTCTGCCAGGCAGGAAGGAGAAACTCAGAAAGCACTCCCAGAATGAATCTCTCTGAGCTGGCCCCTCAGCTCACACCACCCTGGCCGCCAGCAGCGGTTTTCGTAATAGAAGCCAGGTGTGGGCCAGATGCCCTGGGCGGAAGTTGGGGGGGCAGGGCCGGTTGGAGGGCAACATTCCAGGCCCGCTGCTGCCCCCGCATTGGATCCAGCAGCAGAGCCAAGCAGAGGCACCATTCCATCATCTGGGGGGGGGGGGGGGGGAAGCCGCCCACGCTCTTCCCAGGTCTCCTAGCTGAAGCCCCTCGAGGGGACTCCTCCAGATCCAGATCCTCATTGCCTGTCTGCTCTCTTAAACAACTTAGAGCCCCTTGGCCAGCAGCCACACCAGCTCCACCTCAACCTCAGACACAGACCACCTCTGTGGGGTGGGGAGAAGGGGGAGGAAGAAGTGGAAGAGGGGAAGAAAGAAGGCTGAAAAGAGGCCACTGCAGAGGGGAAAGGAGAAAGAAAACACTCAAAGAGTTGGTTCAGTGCAATACCCAGTAGGCATTGACTTCAGGTGCCCTGTGCAGCAACCCCAGGACCCTGCATAGGCACCCTGAGAAGGGGCTTCCACCTTGCCTTCGAACAGATCTAGGGAACCCTTTCTGGGCAAAGGCTTGGAGGTCAATCAAAGAAAGCCTACCAGTGAAGCCTACTGTGAACACCCACACCAATCTGAGACTCAAGTGACCCTGTGGGATGAGATCAGCAGCCTTACTAAGATATACAGCCAGGATTGGCACTAACTGCTCTGCTCCATTCACCTGTTAGATGGGGCCTCTTTTCAGTCCTCAGCTAGACAAAATGGAACAGACTATACTGTTTTGGCTTTCAAAAGGTACTAGGTGAATAGGATTTTGAGAATGAGGAGACAGAAGTCCCAAGGCTATCCTTGACCCCCAGTGGATTCCAGTTCTTAAAATGGGGAGAAGGCTATCTATGATGACCTGAGTCTTTACTGGGGAGTTCCTCCCTAGACATGGCAGCAGGACCTTGCACCACCTCGCTGGGGGAAGAAGCCTCAGTTTCTAGAAAGTTCTTTTAATAAACAAATCCTGGGGGCTGGAGAGATGGCTCAGAGGTTAAGAACACTGGCTGCTCTTACAGAGGACCCGGGTTCAAGTCCCAGCACCCACATGGTGGCTAACAACTGTCCATAACTCCAGTTCCAGGGGATCTGACACCTTTTTCTGGCCTCTGTAGGCACTGTGCCACACGGGTACACCTACCTACCTACAGGCAATGCACTAATAATTAATTTAATAAATCTAACAGGTGGTACATGCTTTTAATCCCAACACTTAGGAGGCAGAGGCAGGCTGATCTACAGAGCAAGTTTCAGCCTGCCGGGACTACATAGTGAAACCCTGACTCAAAAAAAAAAAAAAAGAAAAAACCCCACTGATTTCATTTCTTGCTTAAAACTCTCTAGTGGAGCCAGGTGTGGTAGCACATGGCTTTAATTCTAGCACTTGGGAGAGAGAGGCAGGCAGATCTTTGAAAGCCAGTCTGGTCTTTATCATGAGTTCTAGGCGAGCTGAGGCTACAGGGAGACCCTGTCTCAAAAAAGACAAAAAACAAAGAAACAGAAAAACAAAACAACCCTCTAGTGGGGGCTGGAGACATGGCTCAGTGACTATGAGCACTCACTGATCTTCCAGAGGACCTGGGTTTGGTTCCCAACATCTACATGGTGGCTTACAACTATAGGTAACTCCAGTCCCAAGGGATCTGACACCCTTTTCTGGCCTCCGTGGGCATTGTCAGACATGGCTACATACACGTAGCCAAAAACACTCATACACATAAAATAAAAAGTAAAATCTTTTTAAAATTGTTATTTTTTTGGTCTTTTTGAGACAGGGTCTCCCTGTAGCCACAGGTGGCCTGGAACTTACTATGTAGACCAGGCAAGCCTTGAACTCACAGAGATCCGCCTGCCTCTGCATCCCAAGTGCTGGGATTAAAGGCATGCGCCACCATACCCAACAAAAATAAGTAAAATCTTAGAAACAAAGCTATAGTGGCTTCCCACAGCCCAGGGTACATGTCCTTTACACAGCCTGCCTCCATTCTGCACCCCTCAGATGACTTCTAGAACAAGCTTGGCTTACCTCAGGCCATCTACTCAGGACCTCAGGTAAAACTGAGTCCTCACCTGTAAGCTAGTTTTTAAAGAAAAGCACTAAGCCCTCCCAGCAAGGGAAGCCCACAGCAATCATCCGATGCAGGGCCATTTGTGTGGCTTTTTGGCTGCTGCCTATAGGATCTCTATTAGCAAAATGAATTAACTCCCCAGCGGCTACAAGCCTACTACACGAACCAAGGCCCTGGCCCCCTCACTTGGAAGTCATGGCAACTTACACTGGATGCACCCAGTATACAATATAACCAAATACCTATATCCCTGGATCCTGCAGGGCTGGGAAACCCAACCATCCCAAGATCCATGATAAGACCTGGGACACAACAGCAGGGTGAGGATTCTGACTTCTCAGCAGTTGGCGTCTGTTGACCATGCCAGGAAGAGAGAGCAAAGTCTTCGAGGAGGGGAGGAAGCTAGAATCTCAAATTACCTTCTTGAAGTCATAGGACACCTCCACTGAGAGCCTGTGGGCAGCCTGGCTGTATTCAACTCTGAGATCAAAGCCAGGCTCTCCCTGGACTCAGAGCTTTGGCCCCAGAAGGAACGAACTCCCAGCAGCAGTAGTAGCAGCAACAATGACAACAGCACTAACTTGCTGCTACTACCAGTCTCCCAGGGGTCCCTCCATCCGCTGAAACTGTATGGTCCACATTTTAGGCAGGGGTTTCTACTCACCCCAACTTCCCACACAACTCACCTGAGAGGCCTCGGCCCTTACTCTGGGGTCAAAGATCCGTAGCTGCTTGTCCTAGAAAAGAAGGGAGAAGAAAACAGACCATGCAATTAAAACCGGCGGGTCTTTGGGAGCTAGTCCATCTCCCATACTATAGGCTCTCATCAGTCAGTGCCCTATTATATAGGGCTGACATCACACACCAGATGTCACCTCCCTAGCTGGGCTCTTCTTACCTGGAGGGCAGGTGCCTTCCAGTCCAATCTACCAGAAGAATATACTCAGTGACAAGACTAGCTTCCTATCACCTACTATGTGCCAAGCATATCATGCATACCCTCTCCTCACCTTTCCAATGACCCTGTGAAGCAGGACCATTACTATGACCCCCATCACAGAGAAAAGGAGGTACAAAATCAAACTTGAGGTTACTGGTTGTTTTATGTGTGTCCAGCCCTTTGCTAGGCCCAGCCTGGCTTATGTGATGATGTTTCTTCTGCACTTTAAGAACTTCAGGTTGGACAGGGTATGGTGGTGCATGCCTTTAATCCCAAAAGAACTTCATGTTGGGATTGGGGAGATTCTGCCTTGTAAGCATAAAGACCTGAGATCTTCAGTATTTACATAAAGCCAGGTATGCACTTATACCCCAGCACTGGTTTTATGGAGATAGGATCCTTAGAACTCACTGGCAGTTGTTCTCTGACCTCCATACATGTGCTGTGGTACACCCTCCCCTACAAAATGAATATTTAAAAAAATTAAGTGGAGAGTGATCAAGGAGGAAACTTCAAATCAATATCTGGCTTCCACATGTGCATGCACATATATGCATATATCAACATAAACAGGTACATACACATACCCCACACACACACATACACAAAGTAAGAAAAGAATGATCAAGGAAGGAACCCTATATGAACCTCTGGCCTCCATGTGCACACACATGCATATGCCTGCATAAACATATACCACCCCTCACACCACACACATAGAGAACTTTTTGTTTCAGGAATTAGTCGATGTAGCCCAGGCAGGCCTCAGATTCACAGAGATCCTCCTGTTTCAGCCTCCTGAGTACCAGGGTTACAGATGTATACCACCAAGCTTAGCTTAAAGAACTTTTTTTTTTTTTTTTTTTTTTGTTTTTTTTTTGGTCTTTTGGAGACAAGGTCTCCCTGTAGCCCCAGCTGGCCTGGAACTTACTACCTAGACCAGGCTGACCTTGAACTCACAGAGATCAGCCTGCCTCTGCCTCCCAAGTACTGGGATTAAAGGCGAGTGTCACCATGCCCAGCTGCTTAAAGAACTTTTAAACATAAAGAAAAGCTAATATTTCCTGCCCATCCTCTCAGTGCACCATCTGATCCAGATTTCCTGAGGACTAGGATAGAAAAAAGACAAACAGGCAGACAAAAACCCAGCACAGAACTGTGGAAATAAACAGCAAACCCTAGCCATAATTGAAGAATTATTGGCAGCTGAATACTGCTGGGTGAGAGGAAGAGGTAATCTTGAAGGGAAAGGCTCTAGATAGACTGACTAAACCCAGGTGGACAAACTTATACTGGGGGACATCTCAGGACACTAACTTTACATAGTAGGCCTTAATACAAATGACAGAATGTATGAATTCCTGTGGGGGGCTATGGGAGGGCACCAAAGGGGAAATAGCAAGGGGTATAAAGATGATTTTATGTATGAAATACATAAAAATTCAATTAAAAATTTATACATATACAAAAAAAGAGGGCTGGAGAGATGGCTCAGCAGTTAAGAACTCTGGTTGTTCTTGCAGAAGACCCAGGTTCGAATCCCAGCACCCACATGGCAGCTAACTCCAGTTCCAGGGGCTCCAACAGCCTCTTCTGACCTCCGCGGGCATTGTACGCAGGCAATACATGCATACATAAAATTTAAAAAAAGAAAAAAATCTGTACTGAAAAAAAAATGTTCATGCTCTATTCAAGTCCTTATTTCTGCAAAAATAATCTGTGTATATGCTTACTGTCTGTGTACATAGCATACATGCATAAAAGGCTGGACACATGTCTGGGAGTGTAGCTCAGTGGTTAAGCCCTAGTTTAGCAAGTATGAAACCCTGGGTTCAATCACTGAGAGAAAAAAATTCAGCAGAGTTTGTACCCACTGTTTACAGGTTTGGCCATAATTGGCCATAATAAATTGTTACATGTAAAGAGGAAATCGTAGGATAACATGGCTTGATGTGATTCTACTGTGGTCAAAATAAATAAAAATATCTATTTGTGTAACCATGTTCCTGTACATTTTGGGAGTTGGTTAAGCAAAGAGAAAGGACTTGACCAGCACAGGCCAGTGAGTCACTGCTGGACATGAGGTGTGAGGAAGTGGGGGGATGATCAGTATTTCCATTTTATATTTTAGTACATATTTTCATATTCTGAAAAATAACAAATATCTGAACTTTGAAATTAAAAACATTACCATTTTCATCAATAAAAAAGCTGAAATGCTTATTTATAATTTTTTTTTTTTTTTGGTCTTCTTGAGATAGGGTCTCCCTGTAGCACCAGCTGTCCTGGAACTCACTATGTAGACCAGGCTGGCCTTGAACTCAGAGATTGCCTGCCTCTGCCTCCCGAGTGCTGGGATTAAAGGTGTGCACCACCACGCCCGGCATAAATTTTACAAATATGTATCAACAAAACATAAGGAAAACTACAAAATTATGATCAAAGAAATTAAAGATCTAAATCAATGGACAGATATTCCAATTTTATGAATATGAAGACCTTCTTTTGTTGAAATGTCAGTTTGAGGCTGGAGAAATGGTTTAGTGGACAAAGTAATTGCTGTGCAAACATGAGGATCTGAGTTCTGATCACTAGCACCCACAATAAAAAGCTAGGTACAGGGACTAGAGAGATGGCTCAGCGGTTAAGAGCACTGACTGCTCTTGCAAAGGACCCAGATTTGATTCCCAGCACTCACATGGTGGCTACAAACCATCCTTAACTCCAGTTCCAGGGGAATCTGAAGCCCTCTTCTGACCTCGGAGGCATTGCATGACACAGGTGCACTCACATACATGCAGGCAATACACTCATACACATAAAATAAAAATAATAAATAAAATGTTTTTTAGAAAGCTAGGTACAATACTGTATATCTATAATCTGAGCACTGGAAAGGAGGATCCTGGGGGCTCACTGGGCAGTTAGTCTAATCAATTGGTAAGCTTCAGGTTCAGAGAGAGACTCAGTCTCAAAATAAGGTTGGAGGGGGCTGGAATTAATGGCTCAATGGTTAAGAGCACTGGCTGCTCTTGCAGAGGAACTGGGTTTAGTTCCCAGCACCTACATGGTAGCTCACAACCACCCATAACTCCAGTTCCAGGAGATCTGACATCCCCATCAGGCCTCTCAGGCACTGCACGTGCAGGTGCATTTACACACATGCAGATAAAACACTCATACACATAAAAGAAAAATAAATTTATGTTGGACCTGGTGGCATACGCCTGTAGTCCCAGCACTTGGGAGGCAGAGGCAGGCAGATCTCTGTGAGTTCAAGGCCAGCCTGGTCTACATAGTGAGTTCCAGGACAGCTGGGGCTACAGGGAGACCCTGTCTCAAAAAGACCCAAACAAAACAAAACAAAACAAAAAAACCCTAACCAAAAAAAAAAGAAAAAGAAATTAAAAAAAATTTTTTTGGTCTTTTTGAGACAGAGTTTCCCTGTGGCACCAGCTGGCCTGGAACTCACTATGTAGAATAGAATATTTTTAAAAATACAGTAATGGGGCTGGAGAAATGACTCAGTGGTTAAGAGCTGCTCTTGCAGAGGACCTGGGTTTGATTCCCAGCATCCACATAGTGGCTGACAACTATCTGTAACTCCAGTTTCAGGGGAATCCGAGGCCCTCTTCTGATCTCTGTGGGCATTGCTCGACACAGGTGCATTAACATACATGCAAGCAATACACCCATTCACATAAAATAAAAATAATAAAATATATTTTTTAAATGTCCAAAAACTCCAGTTCCAGGAGATCCAACACTCTCTTCTGGTCTTTAAAGGCACTGCACACATGTGGTGTACTTAAGTTGTCAGTCAAAAAAAAGACATGGAGCTGGGCATGGTGGTGCACGCCTGTAGTCCCAGCACTTGGGAGGCAGAGGTAGGCGGATCTCTGTGAGTTCAAGGCCAGCCTGGTCTACATAGTGAGTTCCAAGACAGCTGGGGCTACAAGGAGACCCTGCTTCAAAAAGACTAAAAAAAAAAAGACATGGATATACCTTAAATGATATTGCTACGTAAAAGCAGTCAGTCTGGAAATTTGCATATTGTATCATTCCAACTCTTGACCTTATAAGAAAAGGCAAATCTCCAGACACAGTAAAAGGCAAGTGTTTGCCAGTAGTGGTTAGGAGGGCAGACAAGGATGAAATGGAGTGCTGGGGATTTTTAGAACAGTGGAACATGTACTTGTCAAAATTCACAGAATGTGCTGGACATGATGGTACCTGCCTTTAATCCCAGTAGGGCAGAGGTAGGTGGATCTCTGTGAGATGAGGCCAGCTTGGTCTACACAGGGAGTTCCAATGCCAGTACCAATTGCAACAATATAGTACACCAATGCAAGAGGCAAGGAGCAATGAGGGGAACTTGGAAGGTTGAAGCAACAGGCAACAGTAGGTTTCCAAGTTCAAGGTCAGCCTGGGTTAAGTAAAAAGACCCTGCCTGAGTCAGGCGTGGTAGCACATCCCTTTAATCCCAGCACTCGAGAGGCAGAGGCAGGCAGATCTCTGTGAACTTGAGGCCAGCCTGGTCAGCTACAGCTACAGGGAAACCCTGTCTCAAAAAGACCAAAAAAAGAAAAAAGACCCTGCCTGAAAAATATAGAGGAAATAGAAGTAAAGAGAGGAGGAATATGGGGAATTTTTGTATTATCTGCTCTATTTTTCCTGTAAAATAGTTCTAGAAAAGTCTATCAATTAAAAATAAAACAATGCCAGGAAGGGTGACTCATGCTTATAATCCCAGCATTCAGAAAACAGTCAGAGGATCACAAGTTCAAGGTCAGCCTAGGTTAGTAATGAAGTTCCAGGTCAGCCCAGACTAGAGACTGAGACCCTGTCTCAAAATTTTAAGAAATTTAAAACTTAAATCAAATGAAAGAGAAACCAAGTGAATGCCTGCTCTGTGCCTAGCCCATGTCTGAGTGCTTGGGATGGAGCAATGGACAACCAGTTCCAGTGATGGCAGAGCTCACAGCTCAACCTGAGCTGAACCTTGAAGGACAAAGCAGAGCTTGCCCTAGGAATGCCAGGTGGAACAGCATAAGCAAGATGCAGAGACAGAATATATAACATGGAAGGGGGAGAGGCCAAATGAGGAAGCAGATGGAGGGAGTGGAGGGGCAATGGGCAAGCACAGGGCTTCATGGGCCAGACTGGCCTGAGAGCTCCTGGGAAGTTAAGCCTCCCTGGCACTCAGGGGGCTCCAGGGTTCTGAGCTTCTGGCAAAGCCGTCTTAGCTGTTTTTCACTTGGCACCAAGCACAGTTCAGAGCTCAAGTCCTAAACAACACTGTACTCCAATAGCCAGGGGCCATATGGAGACCTATAGAGATCAGGCATGAGGAAGATGAGAGGGAGAGTGAGCACAACCAGAGCCAGGCACACAGGCCAGTGCACGACAGAGACAGAATACTGACAGCAAGGAACAGAGAAGACAGCAAGGGAGAGAGAACAACTAGAGATTGAAGACACAGGAAGACAGAGAAGCAAGAGACTTATAGGACAGGAGTGATGGCAAGTCTCCAAGATGAAGGGTGAGAGGAAATACTTCCTATTCTGCAGGGCGAGAGCTGCTGAGGAGATAATGAAGGCCCACATTCAAATACCAACCCCACCACTGACAACTTTTGTGCCCTGTGCAAGCCTGAGCCTACTGAGCAATGACTAGGTGGACACAATGTCTCTCAATGGGAGGGCACAAGGGTTAGAGTACAACATCCCTCTTTGCATGTAGCAAACTCCACGGAGGAGGCAATAGTTTAAGGCTGGGTATAAATCAGAGTTCAGAGCAGGCTGACCTTGAGGCTGTTCTGAGCCAGGTAGAGGGGTGCAACCAGGTTATAATGGCCCTGCCCACCCCAGGCTCACTGGACAGGACTTAGGGCTCCAGAGACCTCACATTAGGCCAAGCTGTGCCACCTGTGATGCCAGTTCGCCCCCTAGTGGCCTTCTGTCCCTTCTCTTAGTCATTAGAGAGGGAAACAAGTTAGGGTTAGCTTGGGTGCTCTGGAAGCCAGAGTTGCTTTACATCAACAGCATCAGGATAGGAATAGAACAAGATAAGCGTAGGGCAGCTCTCATGAGAAGTGGCATGCCAGCACCACTTCCCACATTGGTCCAGTCAGGCAGCACAAGCAGCAACTATACAAGTTTAGAGTTCAGTCCAGCAACTGCTGATAAAGAGGGAAGGCAGGCAGCAGTGGGCACAAGATCAAGGCATACATTGATCCTAGTATGTGCTGACAGGTACCAGCCTGGAAGAGATGATCTAGGAAGGAGGGCCGGGAGCAGGGGTCAACTCACAAGCTCACAACCTCATTGTCACCACCTGCTTGTGCTTCTTGTCCTGGCAGCTTTTGGCTCTAGGTCTAGAGGGGAAATATTTCCACCTGGGAACCAGCGTAAATCTCCTGGGTTTGGCCTCTATCCCTTGCCTCGCAAAACAGGAGTAGGCCAGGCATAGTGTCCACACTGTACCTTGTCCTTCCCTGCCCAATTCTGATGGTAAATGGAGCTCAGACCCAAGGAAAATGAGGGGCTAGACCATTCTATCAGTGAGGGAGGGGCACAAAGGTTTCTGACAGGAAGGAAAGGCTGGTCTTAACTCAACTGAGATGTCACCAAGACTGGTCCCTTGATTGGGATAAATAACCATCTTGTCTACAGTCAGGTCTCATCCTCAAAGATCAGTGCCAAGCTCACTTGCTGGGACTTGTCTTCCATGCCCCAAGATTCAACCCAAATAAGTCAACCAGGGTCTCTTGGAGGTTGTATTACTTCACAATCCCCAGGGTTCAGGTCAGGGTCTACAATCTACTACACAATGAATAATACCAGAAAAGAGAAAAAATACTTGACAAAGACTGAGAAATGAGCCCTCTAGAAAAAAGGCAGATTGAAGATGAGAATAACACAGGAAATAAGATTCCTGCAAATGTGTAGGCCCATGGGCCTAGAGGCATCCAGGGCTTGAGGTTTTCAAAGGGTTCTATCCCTGTACTCCCTACTCATCTCTCTGGGTCCATGGCCTCCATTCATTTTACTGTTGTTTTCTGAGATATAATCTTATATAGTCCAGGCTGGCCTCAAATTCACAACATGGTCTAGGCTGACCTTGAACACCTGATCTCCCTACCTCTGCCTTCTTAGTGCTAAGACTATGGGGCATTATGCCAAGTTTCCATTAAAATTTTTTTTTAGGGGCTGGAGAGATGGCTCAGCAGTTAAGAGCACTGATTGCTCTTGCAGAGGACCTGGGTTCGATTCCCAGCACCCACATGGCAACTACGAACCATCCTTAACTCCAGTTCCAGGGGAATCCGAGTCCTTCTTCTGACCTCCGCGGCATTGCACGACATGGGTGCATTCACATACATGCAGGCAATACACTCATACACACACACAAAAATAAAAATAAAATTTTTTTTTAAAGATTTTTTTAAATTTATTTTTATTTTATGTGTATGACCATTTTGTCTGTACATTTGTAAATGTACCTGTGTTGGGCAATTCCCACAGGGGACAGTATAAGGTGTCAGATACCCTGGAATTGGAGTTATAGACAGTTGTCAGCTGTCATGTGGATACTGGAAACCAAACCTGGGTCTGCAAGAACAGCCAGTGCTCTAAATCACTGGGCCATCTCTTCAGACCCCTAGTTTCCATTTTTCATGAGCCCTTTCCAGGCGCTCCATACCATCAAAAATGTCTCCAAAAGTTCCCTAGTCCTTCAAACCCAGACTACCTAGACTCTGGTACATTGCTACCCTGATGAACTCTCCCTGGATCCCAGGTTCCACTCATCTTGCCTTCTTTCCATCACCTTCTCCTTGCAATCTTATGATTTTCCTCCCTCCTGAGGATACCCTTGACCCCTGAGCACAAACTGCACCGCTCTTTTCCACCCTCCACTCAGAAAACCTCTCTTTTCCATCTTCCGCTGTTCAAGACCCCATCAGGTCTACAGATTCAGGCTGGGATGTTTCCAGGTACCCCAGCTCAACATATCTATACCACCACGTGAGCAGTGTTATCCAAAATAGTCACATAAGGGGCCCTCCAGCTCCTAAGACCTGTTCACATGCCCATCTCAGTATGGGGCTCTCCTCTTGGGACCCAAGACCCAACCTAATGACCCCCATACTTCACATCTAATCCACCACCAACACTCTATGTCCTCCATCTCCACTATCCCTAAGCAAGGACACTCCTCTTACCCTCTCCTTGAAGACTGTTCCAAATTTAGTTATAGACACTGCTCATCTTGGCCATGTTATATCCACACAGCAACCACAGTAATATGTCAAATGCAAACTCTGTTCACCTCAGGCCACCATTCACCCATCTCGGACTTTAACGCCTTGCTGTTTGCCCACTGCTACTGCCACTGCAACTAGCATAACTCTTATGCTACAAGAAGTTGTTTGGAGAAGCAACACAGGCAGCTGCATAACTCTTATACTACAAGAAGTTGTTTGGGGAAACCACACAGGCAGCTGGGTGAGGATTACTGAGAGACTGGACAGAGCCAAAACCAAACAGCACAGACCAGCAGGAGGCAGCATAGGACTCTCCTCAAGTCCTCTCTGATAGGGATCCTTCGTAGCATGAGGAGCTCACATATGCCCATCCTGAACTCAGGGCTCTTCAGCTCCATAAATACTTTTGTGCCTACAAGGTTTGACTTACTTACCATACTGACCTCATGCTGAGTCCCACAGTCGCTTGCTACACGCTTACCTTGCATGCTGTACCCACAAGGGCTCCATCTCTGCTCCAGACAGCACTCTGCACCACGTCTCCATGGGCCTGCAGCTCTGCAGAGAAACAGCCAAGGTCAGACACCAGGTTTGATAAGGATCTCTTTCATCCTGGAGCGGGCAAAGATTGCAGCTCTATTTAGACATGCTATATCTGCATCCACTGGCTTTCTTCTTTAAGCCTGCTCTCATCAGGCCATGCTCAAGTTTTTGATGCTGTCTGTTTCTCAGCCTGCCTCTCATTTCCCACACTTCTTCTCAGTGTACTCCTAGGTTACCCTACCCTGGGCTTGTGCTTTTGCTATCTTCATTCTCCTACCCTAGCTTGGGGGGTTGGATACATGTACAACAACCAGGTGTTGTAATACATGCCTATAAGGGAAGCTGAAAGAGGAGGATCATGAGTTTGAGGCCAGCTTGTGCTACAATAGTTAAGAAAGATGAAAATAGTTGCCTACAGAGAGAATTTATTACAAGGCTTTAATTTATATTATGTACCTAAGCAAATCTTGATTATTATTATTATTTTTTTTTGTCTTTTTGAGACAGAGTCTCTCTATAGCCCCTGTCCTGGAACTTACTATGTAGACCAGACTGGCCTTGAACTCACAGTGATCTGCCTGCCTGCCTCTGCCTCCCAAATGCTGGGATTAAAAGCTTGTACCACCACGCCCAGCCAAACTTTGATGCTCTTGAAATTATTTATTTATTTTATGTGTATGTGTATATGCACCATGTGCATGCAGGTGCCCTCAGGAACTTACTATGTAGACCAGACTGGCCTTGAACTAACTCACAGTGATCTGCCTGCCTGCCTCTGCCTCCCAAATGCTGGGATTAAAAGCTTATACCACCAAGCCCAGCCAAACTTTGATACTCTTGAAATTATTTATTTTATGTGTATATGTATATGCACCATGTGCATGTAGGTGCCCTCAGAGGCCAGAAGGCATTGGCTCTCCAGGAACTGGTGTTATAGGTGGTTGCGAGCTGCTTGATGTGGATGCTGGGAATTGAATCTGGGTCCTCGACAAGAGCAGCAAGTGCTCTTAACAGCTGAGCCATCTCTTCAGCCCTACTACTACTACTTTTGTGTACACACATGCACACTGGGGGTGGAACACAGGGCCTTAGAAATGTAAGGCAACTACTTACCACTGAGACTACCAAGTTTTACCCCATCCCTGATACATATTTTTAAAATTCACATTACTGAAAACACCAACAGGGAAAGTAAGGGGTGTCCAGATGGAAGCTACTCAGGGAAGGGCAGCCACTCTGGAGTGGCCGTACCTGTCAGGGGCTGGTGCTTGGCTATGTCCCAGACCTTCACAGCTCTGCCAGCGGTGCTCACCAGTATACCATCTGAGGTGGGGTGGAACTGTAGTACTTCCACTGGCAGTTCCTCTGGACCCAGCACCACTCCAGGTTCTGAGGGAAGGACTTGGCCAGGGCCTGGAAGCCGCCAAAGCTTCACCTGTGGAAAAGATTAAATTTGTAGGCCAGGTATTGAGGGTCTCACGGCTACAACCAGGCTTGTCCAGACCTGTTGCCCTGGTCTTCGTAAAGCCCTATGCTGAACAAAGCCAATCCATGAGAGAAGAAGGCATCTCACCTGCCTCAGCTGTTGGGACTAGGGAGCTACATACCCCACATACTCCCCTATCCCCTTCATTCCCCTCCACTCCCCCACACCCGACCCCCATGTCATGGAGAAGAGGGAGGGAACCCAACCCAGAGATCAAAGGGTGTGGTCAGAGGTCAGTGGGGACTATATGTGAGTGTGGACAGGAGTTCTGTGGTCTTCTCCAGCCTCCCATACCTCCCCAGTCTGCTTCCCTGAGCAGTCAGGCAGTGTAAGGGCATATCATGAGACAGCTTTGGACCAGGCACTAGGGGCCAGCAGGGGCAGGAACAGAGGTTTGCATGATCAGAGGGCCCTAGGCTATGGTGAGCAGGTCATAAGCAGCTCCTCAAACTAGCCTTACTCACCGTCCTGTCAGCTGAGCCCGAGGCCAAAAGGAAGTCATCAAAGGGAGAGAAGTCCAAGTCTGTAACCAGGTCTGTGGGGGAGGAGTGATTGGACCTGTTCAATGTCCCTTTCACACCCAAAGAAATCCTCCCTGGGCTTGCAGGTGACACCTTCAGCCCAGAGAGGAAGCTCAAAGTCCACAAAGCCAGACCCCCTCTGGACACCATGGGGAGACATCAAGGTCCTCTCCTACAGCATATATCCTTGAGAGCCCTGCTGACCCCATATCACCTAGGACCCTGACGCCAGAAGGTTGACAGGAAAATGGGTTCCAGGAACCTGCTTGTTCACAGCCATACAGTTCAGCTCCTCCTAGGACAGCTGGGGTTGATCTCAATTCTTTTGTGGGGAAAGGAGGTGCAGAGTTAACCAGAGCCCAGAGAAGAAAAACAGGGCTGACGGAAGGGAGACAAGGTGTGGAGGATAGTGGGTAAGGGAGGGAGTGTGGTCAGGATTACAGGACAGCATTACCACAGTAAAGGGCATCATTGCTGTCCCCAGTTGCTTTCCTTCTGACCAGGAGACAAGTAAAGGAGGGTTGACATGGGCAGGCAACTCCTGCAATGGCTCTAGTCTGGATTTTCAGTTCTCAAGACCACAATGGTACTGAACCTAGAGCCTTAGAACCCTTGCCTCCCTCACTTTAGGGATTCCTCATTGATCAAGGCAAGGTAGGTCCTGGGCCAGGTGTAGCCAGTAGCACAGGCAGCTGGCATCTAACAAAGGAACACACCATGGTAAAAGAATTGAGTAACAGGAGTACACCTACACAGAGTCCTCACACACACAGACCTCCCTGAGCTCATGACAATCCATCAGGTAGTACTACAGGAAGATGGGCACACCAAAATGCAGTGAGGGTAAGAAACATGGACAGAAGCACACAGCTAAAAAGTGTGGGGGGTGGGTATAATTCTAGACACTCTGGCTTCAAATCCTGATTGTGAGCATGACAACATGTTGCCTTTCCCCAGCAGGAACAGCAGCAGGACCACCCCCATCACCTCCACATCAGGCCTCTAGGTGTTCCTGTTGCTCTACTCTGCTCCTCTGACAGCTGGATGGAAGGCAGGCATGATTCTAAGATGAATGGCTAGAGGGCAGGGAATCCCCAAAGTCAGAGGAATAACCAAAGCCCAGCCTGCCCTAGGTTCTCTCACCATTGACAATATGTAGGGCAAAATAGCATTTAGTATCGCTACAGCACATTTTTGTTGTTGTTGCTCCCCACTGAGTTATATCCTTAAACCTTTTTTTTTTTTTTTTTTTCCCAGAAGGGTCTCCCTGTAACCCTGGCTGGCCTGGAACTCACTACATAGACCAGGCTGGCTTTAGCCTCACAGAAATCCACCTGCTTCGGCCTCCTAAGGACTAGGATTAAAGGTGTATGCCACCATGTCTTTTTTTTTTTTTTTTAATGTGGATGTGCATGCATGTAAATGCACCTGTGTCATGCAATGCCCAAGGAGGTCAGAAGAAGGTGTGAGATCCCCTATGATGGTTGTTAGCCACCATGTGTGTGCTGGGAATTGAACCTGGGTCCTTTGGAACGGCAGCCAGTGCTCTAACTGCTGAGCCATCTCTCCAGCCTCAACTTTTTATTTTTATTTATTTTTTAATTTTAAATTTTATTTTATGTGTATGCGTGTATTGCTTGCATGTAGGTAAGTGGACCCGTGTCGTGCAATGCCAGCAGAGGTCAGAAGAGGCAGTTAGATCCCCTGGGACTGAAGTTTTGGACAGTTGTTAGCTGCCATGTGGGTGCTGGGATACGAACCCTGGTCTTCTGCAAGAACAACCAGTGTTCTTAACCACTGAGCCATCTCTCCAGCCCTATTTTTTTTTAATATTTTACTTATTATTTTATGTGCATGCATGTATTGCCTGCAGAGGACAGAAGCAAGTGTCAAATCCCCTGGAACTGGAGTTACAGACAGTTGTTAGCTGCCATGTGGGTGCTGGGATTAGAACCTGGGTCTTCTGCAAGAACAGTCAGTGTTCTTAATGGCTGAGCCATCTATCCATCTATCCAGCTCCCCCAACTCATTCTATAGTCCAAGAAGGTCTTGGACTTTTTTATCTTCTAGTTTCAGCCTACCAAATAGCTCAAATTACAGACTTATAGACTTGTGCCTTCAGACCCAGCTAAGAGAGAATTCTGGGGAGCTGGAGCTCAGTAACACCCAAATGTATTGAACTAGCAGGACTTCTGCAGGAAAAGGATCTCAAGTTGCCACAATACTGAGGGTACAATCTGCCCACAGATGACTGCTCCAGCTTCTACTTAGAGTGCACTAGTGACAGGGGGTTCACCATCTTCCAAGCATCACCAACTTGGGGTGGCTCCATGACAGGTACAAAGTATCATGAAGGAAATATGAGGTCAGGCATATCCAAATCCTGATTTTGGCTCTGCCACAGTTATGTGAACACTGTTAAGTTCCTAACCAACCTGAGCCTCAGATTTTTTGGGGGGTCTTTTTGAGACAGGGTCTCCCTGTAGCCCCAGCTGGCCTGGAACTCACTATGTAGACCAGGTTAGCCTTGAACTCACAGAGATCCACCTGCCTCTGCCTCCAGAGTGCTGGGATTAAAGGCATGCGCCACCACACCCGGCTGAGCCTCAGATTTTTTTTAATCTGAAAAATGGGTTATTTTATTATTATTGTATATATGATGGGGGGGAGGGAGAGAAAGAGAGGGAGAAAATGCATACATGTGCCACAGCGTGTGTATGGAAGTCAGAGGACAACTTTCAAGAGTCAATTTTGGGTTCCAGGGGTCAAAGTAAGGTCATCAGGCTTATACAGCAAATGCTTTTACCCACTGGACCACTTACTTGCATGCAAGTCTGATGACCTGAGTTCCATCCTCAATCCTCAGATACTACAAGGTGGTATGAGAAAACTGACTCCCAAGAGTTGTCCTTTGATCTCCACATATATGCTGTGGCATGTGTGTGCCTGCATACCTGTACATGTATGTGCACACACACACAGTGCACACACACTAAATAAAATTTTAAAAGTACATAGAGCCGGGCGTGGTGGCTCACACCTGTAGTCCCAGCATTTGGGAGGCAGAGGCAGGTGGATCTCTGTGAGTTCAAGTCCTGCCTGGTCTACATAGTGAATTCCAGGACAGCTGAGGCTACAGGAGACCCTGTCTCAAAAAGACCAAAAAAAAAAGAAAAAAAAAATTTAAGCTTATTTAATGTTATTTATTTTTAAAATGTGTATGAGTATTTTGTCTGCATGCATATAAGTGTATCTTGTACCTTGTGTGCAATGCCCATGAAGGTCAGAAGAAGGCGTTGGATTCCCTTGAACTGTAGTTTTTATGGATAGATAGTTGTTAGCTGCAATGTGAATGCTGGAAGCTGAACTCAGGTGCTCTGCAAGAACAGCCAGTGCTCTTAACCACTGAGCCATCTCTTCTAGCCCCTGAAACTTTTTTAAAAAATGGTTTTTTGTTTTTATATTTTCTT